GGCGGTCTCACCCCCATAAAAAGTTATGGGGGTTGAAAGTTGATTATTTTGTCAATTTTCATACACTATAATTCAAATAAAATTCAATAAAAAAGATATTTTCAAGCGGGTGGAGGTGGGGGATCGCAAGAGGGTGGTCACTTGAACAAAACCCGATAACCTAACCTACCCTATTGATAAAGATATTTAAATAATGTTTTATATAAGTTTCTCAATATTTTTATGTATTTATCATTAGTTTTACTTTTGAATATTGTTTAAGACTACATAAATATTTACATTCCTAGAAATGTAAAAAAATTGGCATATTTATTAACTTCGAACCCCATAACTTTTTATGGGGGTGAGACCGCCACGAACTTTTTATGGTACAGTGGTGGGGGGATCATCTAGACCTTTACCATGATATTAAATAAAAAAACAGAAAGAATGAAAAAATCTGGAGTTTAGTTTTCAACAATACTTATGTAGGACAAACAAGATGAACCTTCGAAGTAAGAATCAACGAACCCAAAGAATATCAACCTAAAAAAGACTGACTCCAGTTACTCCAATCGCCTATTGGAAGAAAATAATAATTTTGTAAGAAATACCGTAGGTAATACTATATATACCTTTAATTCTCACCAAACTGCAGACTGTAAGAATTTGGAACTAGTTTAAAACCCATTTCGTTGATCTGAAGATGCCTCTGTAGAGTGAAACGTATCTTACCGTTTATGTAATCCTCTAATCGATTTAGATTTAGTGAGTTCTGATGTTTTTTCTTTATTATTAATAAACATAGTGAAAACATTAAGAGTTTCGAACATCCACTTCATTGTGAATAGATAATAAGCAGCGTTGTCGTATGTGATAAGAATAATGTAAAAACGGTACCAATTATTGTATAACAATAATAATTAATACGTTAATCAATGAAATGTTATTTTTTGTTTTTCTTCTCATGCGTCTTAACTACAAATTTATTTTATGTAATAGGACATAATTCATTGTTGCGCCACTTAGATGACAATAAGTTCATGAATATGCTGGGCGATAGGTCGATAAAACGGTTATATTTTTTTTTACGAACAGATGCAGTGTGCATGCTATTGTTGCACTTACCTAGCAACTTGCGTTATATCAGAGATAAAATATGATGACCTAAAATACAAAACAATATTTCATATTCCAAGCAGTCTGGTCAGCATGAATTTCAGAGTATGATACACAGGTTGGCATATGTACGAGGGCGGTTCAATAAGCACCCGTGTTAGCAATGAAGACACCATTTATTCAAAAAAATTTTTTTTAGAAAGACATACTTCTCTCAACGTTCCTGTCATTTTTAACCCCTCCAAAAAATTGCATTTGTCAAACGCTCCAAAGTACGCCCCTGTCTTGGCGATGACTTCCCCGTTTGAGCTAAATATTTTCCCACAAACCATTTTTTCATGTTAGGGAACAAGAAGAAGTCGCAGGGAGACAAATCGGATGAGTACGGGGGGTGCGGTAGCAATTCATGCAGTTTGGTGGCGACAAATCCGGATGAATGTGCTGGTGCGTTATCGTGATGTTACCGAGCGTCATGGCCTAGAGGTTTAGATCATTGCTTAGCATTCGGGAGGACGCCGGTTCGATTCTGGGTCCGTCTGCCTTGGTACAAGTTTTTCTGTGGTTTCCTTGGATCAATTAGGCAAATGCTGAGGCAGTAATATTCCACAGATAATCTTTCATTCTCTTCTGTCTTCATTTCGTCCGTCTCAACTTTGTCACCCGAACCACCACCCACCCATTCCCACGATTCCTGAAAACAGGCTGAAGAGGGCCTTCCGCCCTACCTTTCAGCGTTGTCCGGAGGGACTGCCCGCCCACCAGCATTACTGGCTGGTGGGAATGAAACACCCAAAAGTTTTTTTTTTATCGTGATGAAAAAGCGCCTTCTTTTTCGCCAAATGCGGCCGTGTCTCCTTAAAGTTTTTGTCAAAGCGTTCCAATAACTCACTGTAGTATTGTCCAGTGATCGTTCCTTTATCAAAAAAATCCATGAAGATGTCCTTCGCATCTCAAAAAATCGTCGCTATGACTTTTCCAGCCGATGGGACCGTCTTCGCTTTCTTTGGAGCAGATTCACCGGGAGAAATCCATTGTTTTGATTGTTGCTTGGTTTCTGGTGTGTAATGACATCATCAAAAGTGACAACCCGACGCAAAAAGTCCTTCGAATCTCGCTTAAATTGTTCCAAACATTGCTTCGAAGTTTACAGCCGCATTTGCTTGCTGTCCACCGTGAGCAATCGCGGCATCCATCGGGCCGACAATTTTTTCATCGATCAACGAGAATCATGTCGTGGACTTTTTCAATGATTTCCTCGGTATCCTCGTCTGTCGGCCGTTCTGGTCGCTCCTCATCAAAAACGGATGTTCGCCCACGTTTAAATTCGTTGAAGTAATATCTAACTGTGGTCATAGATGGCGAAGTATCCCCATAAACAGCATCCACCTTTGCTTTTATCTCCTCGCATTTTTTCCTATCCAAAAACAAAAAGCGAGTTGCCGAACGCTGCTGCTCTTTTTCCATCTTAGCGAAAATCACGAAACACGTCTCACTCGAATGGCTGTCAAATCCAAACTAACCTATCAATCAGTCTGAATTTTGTTTCGGCGTCGTTTGATAGATGGTAGCACACGACGATAGCACGGGTACTTATTGAACCGCCCTCGTATACCTAAATTCCGCAATGTCCATTGTTATCATGTTATGTTTATCGTTGCTCTTTTTTTTACATACTAAATACATCATAAATTTTAAAATTGTAATGAGGTTAACTCGTATTTTAAAAAGTATGATAACAATGTTGTATCCGAAATTGGTTTTGTCTTTCATTTTTTATTTTTACAGCATTGTGTATAATTTTATGAAAGGCATCTACAGTTTTGATTGATTTGTAAACAATCACATCATTATATTTATTATTGCAATAAGATATTTATTCCTTTTTAGCAAAAGCCACGCAGTTCATCCATATTCATTTAGTATCATTACATAGATATTGTTTCCATTGCCTTAAGCATATTCTCAATAAAAAAACTATTTTTCGTTAAGTTTCTATATTAATACTGAAATTCATTAATATGCTCCTACCTACTGGTACTACTATATACCACGTAGACAATAGTACAAAGTGGCAATTCCGACAGTACCGCGAGCGCCTTAGTAGTATAGTAACTACGACCATAGGTGTCGCCGCTGATGTCTTTAATTAATTTAATTAGCACATCATTATATCTATGAGTTATCTAATATCTATCTGATCGTCACTCAGTTCTGATAGTATTGCTCAGTATTTTCCCAGAAAAAAAAAATTTTCGATTAAACCAACTAAGTAAGTATTTTATTGTTTCAAACAATTTCTATACATAATGAACAATAAACAACTTCAACTTAATTATCACATACTTATAGCATTTCATTAAAAACATTTCTAAAGATTTCAACATAACTACAAATACTAAAAAAGTTTCTAACATTGAAACAGATCGATAGAATTAAGTAGATAATGATACAATAATATAACAGATTTTTCAGAATATGAACAACAGTTAAATAATTTGTATATCTGTGTATATACAGGGTGTCTAGCAAGATTTTGGCAATTTATGTTTTGAGTTAGATTAGCCCAATGAAAAAAAAAAAACTGAATTTTGACATACAAACATATTAGAGAATGTGTATGTATCTTCAAGTTCTAATGCTTGATTTTTGATAGTTAATACTTGATCAATTCCAGTTTCTATTTCATAACTAAAATGTTTCTAGATTTAAGTATTTCAAAAAGTTTGTCACTTGTTTCAGAGCCTCAGGCCAATCCTTTCTTAAAGGACTAAGAGAAGTGTTCGGGACACCCTGTACCTAAAGGACTATTATAACTATTCTGGACACCCTGTACCTATATGTAAGCAATAAAAACATTCTAGATATGTTTCAAGTACCACATACAATAGTAGTTTGTAATTAATTCCTAATAGTTTTATTGGTTTTTGTTTGCATTCATCTAATCTATCGTAGTTTTAGGTAACAGGTATTTTAATATTCTAATAAAAGTATCATATCACAGTTGAAATCGTTACTATATAGAACAAGGGTAGGTACAAAAGTTTGAGTTTTCAATTTTCGTTTTTACGTTAAGTTAATACTTAAAAGGAATAGAGAAACAAAGAGAAGAAATTTGTTTGTTGCCATTTTTGGTCCCCGACCACATAATTCTATGTCACTCTCCTGAAAAAGAAAAATATGCACAAATAATAAGGAAGCTTTTCCGATTTCAAAGAATAGCGTCACGACCTTTGTGAAAATTTCTGTATATTTTGAATAATGAGCATCAGGCGGTTATAGAGCTGGGGCAGCAACGTAGATAAGTGAATATTAGGAAGGGAGTCAGACAGGGATACAGACTGTCACGTCTACTTTTTAATCTATACATCGAAGACGCGATCGACATCATTAAAGACAAAGTACAACTGTAGGGATAGATATACAGTGGCAAAAGATTAGTATGCTTAGATTTGCAGATGATATAGCAGTATTAGCATCTAACAAGAAAGAGTTAGAGATAGCTTTAAATAAAATGGAAGCTGTGTTAACGAAACAGTATTGTATGAAAATAAATAAAAGTAAAACAAAAATACTGGTATGCAAGGGAAGAAAGAATAGGGGAAGAACAAATGTGAAGATAGAAAACGAAAAATTAGAAGAAGTGACTTTAGGTATCTAGGAAGTCAGATAAATCAAAACGGAAGGAAGTAGAATTATAAAGCAGAAGATAGCGCAAGGTCGAGTCGCCTTCAATAAAAAGAAGCCACTTTTATGTACGCGAACGGTTAATTTAGAAATTTGAAAAAGATTGTTAAAGGTGTATGTTTGGAGCGCGGCATTGTACGGGTGCGAAACAAGGACGGTGGGCGTGACAGAAAAGAAAAGGTTAGAAGCGTTCGAAATGTGGTGTTACAGGCGAATAATGAGGATACCGTGGATAGAGAACGTTAGAAATGAAGAGGTATCGGAAAGAATAGGAGAACAGAAGATTCTATGGAAGTTAATAAGAAATAGTTGAGATAGGCTGATAGGAGACCTTTTTAGGCGTGAAGGTCAAGTCTCAGGACTGACGAATTTAGGATGAAGAGATGAACTTATCAAGAAGTCCTCAAATTTTGGCGGGATTGTAGAACACATTAAGTAGTTCAAAAACCAATGCAAAATACGATGTAAAATGCCCAAAGTACCTAATTTTCAGGTAATAAAACCCTGACAAACCGAAAAGCAGGTGCTTGGAACGCTTAGCGTCGGGTTTTGGGGTTGAGGTTTGAGCTACTTACTGATTCACGTGAAACCTCGCCATTAAGTTTCACTTTGTGGAGTAAAACATTTGTTTGAGAAATTATCAGAACTCTAACAAGTCTTCATCATAAAACTAGAATATTTAACTTAACCTTTCAACTATAAATAAATATAGAAATAAGTTTTCCTTACATTTTTATTTCTGTTGATGCAACTCATATACAGGCGTCGTGGATACATGTTTTTCATCACCCTGTAGCACGTAAGAGACATGTTGTAATCCACTTCAACAGGTTCAGGGGTTGGTATCAGTTTCGGTTGATCCATGCAAATGTTATTTATAACCAGTAATATCATGTTGCTGCTATCGACAGGTTGCACGATGAAAGGCCTATTATATAAAATTAAACTATTAAACAAAAGTGAACGCCAGAAATAAATTAATATCTAGTACATTCGCAAAAGATTGTTGAAGGTGTATGTCTAGAGCGCGGTGAAACTTGGAAGGTGGGCATGGCGGAAAAGAAAAGGTTAGGAGTGTTCGAAATGTGGTGTTACACGCGAATGATGAGGATATCGTGGACAGAGAAGGTTAGAAACAAAGAGGTATTAGAATGAATAAGAGAACACAGAGGTCACTATAGTCCGTGTCACGTAAAGTGGTGGCTCAGGTAACAAAACATTCAAAAGATTTATAAGCTTACTATGTGGATTGACCGACATCGGCACCCAACAAGAAGACGGTCCAAATTTTATTTACAACTAGTGATAATATTAAGAGACAATAGTTCTTAATAAGTATGTCTGCCCAGCTATGATTCGCCAAAATGTGTTGTAGAACCTCCGTTTAGGTTTCGATAAAAGAGAAGCCACAAGTGGTTAGCAGAAACGTGTTTTGTTTGAATGATGTCGTAATATTGTAGTTCCAGCTAGGCGTAAACAAGGGCGTTCCCCTTTTGACAGGTTTATTGCTTGAGCCGTCACTTTACGTGGTACGGAGTATGGGCGAGATGGTATGGCAAGACACGTCAGGTATAAGGGGCTAGTTCCCAGGCGTGGAGGCCTAGTTAGAAACATTTTAAAAACCGAAACAGGAGTTGAAAGGAGTAGTAAGTGGAGGTGCGTGTCCAACCAGTCTTAGGATTGATGACTTTATGATGAAGATGAAAATAAAATATCGGTTTCATCGAATTTCGCAGGGTGAAATTGTATCTAATCTGGTTATCGCCCTACCTGGGGGGGATTGCCCCCGGTTTATTTCTATTAACGTGGTGGTTCTTTGGGAGAGGGATTAAGATACACTCAATAAGCTGACGGTGGCTGAAGAATCAGTAACCAGTTCCATCCCGTAGGTGGGCAAGACCCCTCAGAAACCCTTTATTTTTTTCCTGGCTTAGCAGGTTTGACAACCGAGCGGATATTCGCCGCTCATTTGTCCGGGTTCATCTCCTCTCCCAAAGTAAGTACGATGTGGCTACGATTCCCTCTTACGACTACATGGCTGGCAGGAATATTTTCTACCTGAAACTTCCGGGTCTCTGTAATACCATCACTGGTCGGATTTTCAAGGTACAAGTCCCTCTCCTTCTTGGATTGCTTGTACTTCGGCACTAACAAGCCAACATGTGTTCATGGGATCGCTACAGTCTCCTAACCCTAGACACTTATGTGTATAGGCCGGATTATACCGTCCCCCTTTAATGCTACGGGTTAGGTCACCTTCGCGAATCTCTTCCACATCTTAATTAAGGATCTAGCCTTTCTGCCCATAGAGATCGCTTCGATTCTATAGTTCCATACTAAACACCTATTCCGATACATCAAAGCGGCTACTTATGATATACACCTGAGAATTTGGCTATCGCGTTTCGACATCTCCACGAGCTCGTGCAATTCCCCCCATATAATCTGAATATACAAGATAAATGTTGGATTGCACATCAAAGATTAATAAAATGACATAGTCTCCATCAAATATGTTTGAAAACAACTCATTCGTCAGTCGCTATCTATTTAGATGAATTTATTATCCCTAAAGGTTCTCTCACACCAAATTTTATTAAAATCCTTAGGGAATTGTCCATCACGTGACATTGCCAAGCAATTAATGTCCTTTCGTAGTCAATGACTTTCTCTCCCTTTCTTTCCATCGATCATATTTGATGATTATATTGCAAATAACACACTACCAATTGGTCTTCAAACATTTAGAAGCACATGAAGAAGATATACAAGGTATACCTACTCTAGATTTAAACCCAAAGGAACGTTTTGTATGAATGTGGCTACGTGTTAATTAATACTGCTTTTAAATATTTATATAAAAAGTTGCTTACCTTGTGCAATTATCAGTCCATGTCTTATTATACCCTGGCACTGGACCACTTTTACCATTTGGATATGTCAAAGTGTATATGTACATTTCGGTGTCACATGGTTCCGGTTTTGTTTTCTTGATGATGGTCATTCTGTCGAACTCTTTTTCACTCAGCCTGGGTAATTCTTCCTCCCCGGCAGTTTCACCATGGTCTGGATACATCATAGTGTCGACCTCATCACCCCATGTAAGTCTCGCAAAGTAAATCAGAGTACCAAATGCCCATCTTACCAATTCGGTAAAGTGCAATAAGGGCTGGAATAACAAGATTTCGAGTAAGGCTGCTTGTGCAATATTAATACATACATATGTCAAGTGATACATAAGAATAAATTAAGGAATTAAACGTCACTCGTATGTTATAGTTTCCCAAAAGAAAAACTTATTAGAAAACACTTCGTTTTGGTGGTGTTACCATGTTACAGAACACTCTAAATAGCTCATACCCCAACGACAAAGATAACGACACAAATAGTCATCTGATGTACCTAGGTACTGATTTTCTTCAAATACTAAAGAGGAATGTAACCTTGTTACCGAAAAGTACTTCGGACGCTTAGTGTCCTGTTTTTGGAGTTGCGGTTGGGGGTATTGAGAGTGTTCAATTATACCACCCAATAACAATAGATGCGGAATGATATTGAGATGATGCTTGATCTTTTATAATTTTTGCTAGAAGTTTGCAGAACATATGTAGCAACAAACAAGTTCAAAATAGCAATATTGTTCTACGAGGGTGGATTGATAAGTTTCCGGCCTGACCAAGAAAAACAAGGTTTTTAAAAATTTTTTTTTTTTATTTCTCAACATAATCTCCTCCAAGGCTGATACATTTCTCATAGCGGTGTTCCAGTCTATTAATGCCATCTCTATAGACTGATTCGTCAAGCTCCTCAAAATAACCATTTACAGCTTCGATTACTTCTTCATTGTCCGCAAATCTCTTACCGCCAAGCCATTTTTTGAGATTAGGGAACAGAAAATAGTCACTCGGGGCTAGGTCTGGAGAGTAAGGAGGGTGCGGCATCAATTCAAACTTTAGATCGTTGATTTTAGCCGTCGCAACGATTGACGTGTGCGCTGGTGCGTTATCGTGATGAAACAAGATTTTTTTCTTCGCCAGATGAGGTCGTTTAATTTTCACCTCGTGGCTCAAACGTTGCAATAAGTCTGCGTAGTATTGACCAGTGATAGTATTACCCTTTGCAAGGTAATCAATGTATATAATACCTCTTGCATCCCAAAAAACAGTAGCCATAACCTTGTTCGCCGAAAAAATTGTTTTTGCCTTCTTTGGAGTTGGTTCCCCTGGTCCAATCCACTGTTTAGACTGTTCTTTGGTTTCAGGAGTGTAGTGGTGGACCCACGTTTCGTCAACGGTTACGAATCGACGCAAAAATTCGCTTGGATTACGCTTATACAATGACAAATTTGCGGTAGAAATGTTTTTTCGAATCAATTTTTGGTCGACTGTTAGCAAACGCGGCACCCATCTTGCACAGAGCTTTTCCATATGCAAATGTTGGTGCAAAATATGTTGCACACGTTCATATGACATCTTACAGGTCTCAGCTATCTCACGCACTTTCAATCTGCGGTCTCCCAGCACTATTTGATGAATTTTTTCGATCATATCTGGAGTTGTGACCTCAACGGGGCGTCCTGAGCGAGGCCCATCAGAGGTGCTCACACGACCCTTTTTAAACTCGGAAACCCACTGCTTAACGGTTGAATATGACGGGGAGGATGTCCCCAGTGTTGAGTCCATCTCTTTTTTAATTTCCTTCGGCGTTAACCCCTTCAAATAAAAGTATTTGATGACAGCACGATTTTCCTGCTTTTCCATTTTTACGAAAACCACAGAGGCGTCTTGTTCAGCGTGCTGTCAAACCTACACTAGCAAGGAGATCGGGCTGAAACTATAGCTACAAGCTATCCAAGGATGGTACTATAGAATGTCACCTCAAGGTAGGCCTAGTGGCGTCATCTCTTGGTTAGGCCGGAAACTTATCAATCCACCCTCGTATATGAGAGTTGATCCCGTTTCTCCACCTCTGACCTAATTAGAAATCGAAATAATTATGTATTTCACGTCAAATTGCAGTTTACTAAATATAGACTAACACCACAAAATTAATAGTCTTCATCTGTTAAAACCTGTAGATGATCGAGTTTGGCTGAGTCTTATAAAAAGACAAGATATGAGCCCTTGATCCAAAATACAGAGCAAGGAATGGACCTATAGGAGTTCACCAACGCTGAAGGTTCAGCCATCAGCAGGGAAAGTAATGTTATCGGTGGTTTAGGGTTCTGGAAGTGTAATTTTTTTACATTTTCTCCAGAAAGATGTTTGGAGGGCGGTGCTGTATGGATGCGAAATATGGACAGTGCGCGCGGCGGAAGAGAAAAGGTTGGAAGCGTTCGAGATGTGGTGTTACAGGTGAATGATGACGATATCGTGGATAGAGAAGTTCAGAAATGAAGAAGTATTAGAAAGAAACAGAGGACTCTAGGATGTCAATAAAAAATAGGCGAGATAGGTTGGTAGGACACATTTTCAGGCATGAAGTTCTTGTCAGAGAAATATCAGAGGCAGAAATGTTAGGAGGGATAGAGGTAGACGTAGATTACTGTTCGCAAATAGTTAAGGATGTGGGTTGTTCTAGTTTTAGGGAAATGAGAAGATTAGCTCAGTCGGAGTAAAGGGATCACCCTTCGTATGTTGGTCTGACACTGGCCTTCAAACCAGCCATTGATCTAAATCTGAATCAATGCATTGCTGCTTACGTTTTCGATTGATGTTGCAGGGCTTCCGACGTCTTCCCCCTTGAAACAGGTTGCTTGATAATCGTACATCCTTATAGGGGTATAGACGCCTTCTTCGATTAATTGATACATTATGTCCGAACGGATGTCGCCAAAGAATTTTCCGGTGTCAGACTTGTCATCGCTCACTATGACGTAGCCACTGTCATCCAATACTATGCAGTATAATTCTTCGGAATTGCACGTTCTCTTGCAAGACATTTCTCCGCACTGTTGGTAAAAAATTTTATTGGTTGTACGTTACTCAGACACTACTTATGTAAATTTTTATTGAACGAATGCATAAAATTTGATATTTAAGATCAATTGAAGCTTTCATAAATCGTAGATCTAATACTACGCAATGTAATTTTTCATAAATCGCACGTTCTCTTGCAAGGAGGACGTTACTCAAGCATTAATTAAGTAAATTTGGATTGATTGGCTACATAGAATTTGAATTAAATTGAAACTGCTACAAATCAGAGGTATTAAAGATTGATTTAAAAAAATTTGAACTCGTTGCGTCTACCAAAATCAAATAATATTAAAAATTAATGAACCTAAAGTGCCTTACTGTGACAAATTATTTTTAAACGACATTATTAGTATGGTGCATGTAGGAATATTAAGGCATTAGGAAGGTATAGATAGGTCAAAAGGTTAGAGTGTTAGCAAGTATTATAATCATAGTATTACTAATGTACGTTCGCACCTACGAGAAGGTTCGAGAAAGATATTTTCCAGAAAAATTCCAGAACATTCCAAAAAATCAACGATCGGAGGAATTCGATTGAATACAGGGATAAACAAGTGTGCGAATAAACATTTGATAAACGTACAAATATGATAAATGGCACGAATACAAAGTAGTACAGGCTGATATAAATTCAGTGTGAAATAAATATGCCAAGCGTCTTCACCAAAAAAATCTCACCTTCTGTAATTGTAAATAGGAGTTTGTTTAGGAAGGCGATGTCTGTTATTAATTGTTTAATTGACTTAAAGCGAGCTATTTAACTAGAAACCTAAGTACTTTTTCCACTCTTACAAATAAATACATTCTTATAAGGTTGTGGACTTACTAATGAATGTTGACCTATTTTTTTTTGAGGAACTCTTTATTTTTTGTTAGAAGCTCGTTGTTTCAAATTGTTAATAAATTGGAAAAAATACTACAAAATTAACAGTTAAGTACTTGCTTAGTACAATACAAGATATCAGGTATGAGAATAATGAATCTGTATGATTTTAAAATTTGTATTAACGTCACAATATTTACTTACGTTATTCGTAATTTGAGAGAATCGAACGTGCAAGGCTGAATGGTAAAATTGGTACCCAACGACTGCTGCAGGCGCCTTCTTCTGACTATCTTCTTTGAAAATTGCTTGACTTGCAGTCACTAAAGTGTTGTTGTTGTCACCTCAAAAAATGTAACAAATATGCATGTACACAGTACAAATGAATACGTATTAGATGAATTATTTATATGGTTTGTTTTTTTAATACTTTATTGGGAAGCCCCTTTAGAGTGACTGCAGTTGAATTACGTAGACAAAGGTGTATTTGTCTTTGAGAATTCAATCAAAATGATTAATATATGTCATTATATTTTGGAAGTGTATGAATTCCAAAACGATTGGACAACATAGGTACAATTTTGGAACTGATGTGACTCAGACAATGTTCTTCTTATAAACAATAATTATTTTACTTTATTTTAACTGAAACTGTTTATTTTTTGGAAAGTTTCATTGAAATCTCTACTGTTCAAATGAGGACAATTACTTTAAATATTATGCATTATTATTAAATACTGAAAGCAGCAGTTTCTCAAAGATGGTAATACCTATATCAAATGGTACAGAGTAGACAAAACTGTGTGGATCAATGAAGTGCTGTTCCACTGCTCTTCGGTACCAAACCTCGTCAATGGCTCGGTTGTGAAGCTGGTGGAATCGTCTGAAACGTTGAAAAGATGATCCGGTAAGCATTGAATAGAATTAAACTTCCCTTGATGCTTCAAAATTCGAAAAAGTATTTGAAACAGAAATTGTTAACTCACGGTTCATCACTTGGTTCTCTTTCAGAACAAGCGTTATGTGGGAACTCTTGCCACCGGGTCAATCCACTGTGGGTTGCCAAAAAGGCAACAGTAATCCCAAACCGTTTTATAAACTGACATCTGTAATAAATACTCCAATTATTTCTAATCGTAGACTGGTGTATCTATTTTAGAATCCTTCGGAATTACCTATGGTTCGCTATTAAGGAATAGGAATTAAAGTATAAATATCTTCTTTGCAATATTAATTAGAAACTTTAAAAAATCTACAATATTATATTTGTATTATAATATACACAATGTCTGATCAGTATTCCGGAATATTTGAAAGATAACATCTGGAGGCACTATGAGTGCATCTCGTGATAACACCATAACGTAGGAGACGTAAAAAGATACACAAAAAGCATCCCAGTTAACGAGCCGTCAATGATTGAATACAGTTGCCATCACCCTTCGTTGTCGCAACACTCATACCTATTCGTGACCTTCGCAGCAGTTGGTACACAGACAAGTCAATTGTACGTGATCACATATGGATGGTGCAATGAGAATACTCTGGCGGCATCACGTGAATACGCGTCATCATTGCCGGAGCGGTTGGGGGCTTTCGGTAAGGTCATTATCCTCATTTTTATGTATATTACTGAGTGATGTGAGATGGCTCATTCGATTTCTTTTTCATGTACCTTTTTCCCTTAATATTTTCGGAGTATTGATCAGACATAGCGCACAATTGAAGAGTCTAAAAAACAAACAGAGAATGTAGAAATAGTATCTAGTAAGTCGCTGATTTTAACGAAAAAAGTCGCATGTACTTCTTCCCAGCTGTGTACCATCTATGAAGAGGGACGCTGTTCATGCTAAGATAAATCGTTAATCAAAGAAAAAAAGCATGGCTGAAGTACCTAGAACTAGATTGTTTAAGTGATCTCATAAAACACAATTATCTATTTATTTAACAACTCCACAAAGTTTCTTGATTAGGTCTGCTGCTTTATCAAGGAAGTAAAAATTAAAAACAAAGATGTGTGGTGTCATGGGACATACAATGCCTTACTAGATAGATATTAATGATAAATTATGGTTAAGACAGATTTTATAAAAGAAATTGACAAACATTTGACATGTGCATTCCGTAAGAGCTATCTGATCATAATATTTTAAAATGGTAGTTTTAGTTAATTTTCAATACTCGCAACTGTAAAGAATTAGACGTAACTGATAACAGTTTTACCTCCTCCTGGCAGCAAAATTCAAATAGGCAAATCAGGACAACATAGAATATCAAAATCAGTAATATTAACAACTTCCCATACAGGAGATTATGTTCCCAGATTAAGTGCAAAAGTAAAGTAAAAATTAAAACATTTAGACATAAACATGTGTATGATTTCTGAAACGATATCCTTAAATTTGTTAATTGTTGTAGAACGTCTGCTTCAAAATTATTACTTTGTATTATTCTTTTTTATTAACAATTTTTCTAAACCTACGAAATTTAGTAGACATTCGATCATCTGAACTGATACATATCGATTGGTTTACGTTAAGGAATGTGACAAATTATGCGGGGTTTCTATTATGCCATGTTCACATTACCGAGCGTCTACTATATATATATATGTATAATTTTGGATTGAAAAACGAAAATGAACAGTTTTTACTTCAACAAATGTTACACTTTATAACTAGGTACCTACATAGTTTACAAGTGCTAGGTAAGAATCACCCTGTATAATTTAAATTATCATATTTCTTATGAAATGTATTACTTACACAAACCATACATACACACACTATACATACGTTACCTTGGTAAAAGAGCCATCAACTTTACAATAGGGCTTTGTAATGACACAAGAAAAAAAGTTAGTGCATTTAAAGTATTATATTAGAAATGTGCATCATGACTTTATAATTACAATTATCGTTATTGACGAAAAGTGCACAAAAAAAATCTTCACTTACTCGTTTTCATCCTGTTTGTTAATCGATGAAAGGATGTTCTGATTAAACCAATCGGTGGCCTTGGCATCTGCTACAACTGCCTTTATCAGTTTGCTATCACCTAGAATGATGTAAGAGTGGAAGAAGTTTTGGGTTGCTATAGTTTTCGATAAATGCGATTGATTCAAGATAGTGTTATATAGAATCCATAAAACAAAGTCAGTACACCCAAATTATTTATAAAAAAAAGCTGTAACTAATACCTACTTATATACCTACTGGGTTAGTAGGTCAATTAGTGACCCTTTAAATAGTGGAATCAATAATAATCCAGAGAGATCACGGAAAAGCAAATAATGCAGGGTGATGAGACGGCTTGCCGTTTTCACTCACCTTCTGATGATTCCCTGTCCTTTTCTACGTTTCCCAATGATTTTGATATTATTGAATTGTTTTTTAACTATAGTTAAATTGTTCATTGAGTAAATAAATAGTTTTTGTCCATTAGCTAACGTAAGATTGTTAAATAAATTGTTGTGTAAGGTATTCCAAATTCGCTGTTAAACATATAAAATTCGTTCCAATATATAATAATAGGAATGAGTAGAGGGCTCAAGATTTAATGATTATGATCGTGATGAGTAATCTTTTAATTCATTGAAATAGTTTTTTTTATCTCCTCCAACAGAGGCCGATTAAGTGTCTACAGCGCCCTAGGCTAGCACCTCGTAGACGCCCCTTTGGCGGTCATATATTTTGCAAAATAATTTTTGGAAGCAGGTATTTTCTTATTATTTTTTTTTTAAACTTCCGCGCATCCTTCCTAAACTTGCGTCATAGGCATGTGCCTAGTTTGCTTTATGGATAATCAGTCACTTCTATTGATATACGAGGGCGGTTCTATAAGTACCCGTGTTAGACATGAAGACACCTTTTTTTTTTTAAATTTGTTTTTTTATTTTTCAACATAGTCCCCTTTTAGAAAGATACACTTCTCCCAACGACCCTGCCATTTAGTCATTTCTTCATGGTAGGGAACAAGATGAAGTCGCAGGGACTGAGTGCGGGGTGTGCGGCAGCAAATTCATAACGTAATTCATGCATTTTGGCGGCAACAACTCCTGATGAATGTGCCGGTGTGTTATCGTGTTGAAAACGCACCTTCTTTTTCGTCAAATGCGTCCGTGTCTCCTTCAATGTTTTGTCGAAGCGGTCCAATAACTCACTGTAGTATTGTCCAGTGATCGTTCTTCCTTTTCCTAAAAAATCCGTAAAATGATTTCCTCGGTAACAACGTTTGCCAGGCTTCCTGGTCGCTCCTATCAAAAACGGATCTTTGCCCACGTTTTAATTGGTTGAAGCAATATCTAACTGTGGTCGTACATGGCGAAATGTCTCCATAAACAGTATTCAACTTTGTTTTCATCTCCTCGCATTTCTTCAAAAAGCGAGTTACCGAACGATACTGCTCTTTTTCCATCTTAGCGAAAATAACGAAGCACGTCTGAGTGGAATGGCTGCCAAATCCAAACTAAGCTATCAATCAGTCTGAAATTCGTTTTGGCGTGGTTTGGTAGATGGCAGCACACGATGACAACACCAATTTCCCTCAGGAACGTCCTCCGTCTTCAAACACGGGTACTTATTGAACCGCCCTCGTATATTTGTATATTAAAAAGCGTATTATTAAACGTGCAATCACTTACATTCTTTCCATTTCCAGCCAGGTGAGTCAATTTTGTTTAGAAAATGCAACAATTCTTCTTCGGGACTCTCAAAGTGACGTTTGTCATTGGGATACTTGCAGTAAATCCTTTAAAAATAAAGATTGTCAACGTTTGAATCAATCAAAGGAAAATTACGGAAAAAGAATGTGTTTCCAAGAGAAGACAGAGGGTTCATAACGGGTTCTTTCGGTACAATATGATATATATAAAACAAACATACTAGCTCAAAACCCCCAACGCCAAAACACGACACTGTAGTTGTCCGAACCACGTTTCGGTAACAAAGTTACCTTCTTCAGGGACTGAAGTGAACTGAAGAAAGTAACCTTGTTACCGAAAAGTGCTTCGGACAACTATAGCGTCGTGTTTTGGCGTTGGAGTTTTGAGCTATTCTGTTTGTTCTACAACAACCGCCAAAGTTTTTCCAATCTTCATATTTTGATATATATAAGTAAAGAATTAATTCCCAATATTGATGTTACGCCAAAAACTGCATTATGAATCCCTTTCCTTTCAAACTGAATGTGTTGCAGTTCCTACATTTACTTATAATTAAATATTTAAATTTCTTGCTCTTCTACATATAAGCGAACATTTATTTTCGACAGACCTGAATTATTGGTAACTAGTTTCCTTACCAATCAGGATGGACCGTCCAATTTCCGGTGAAATATTGGGTTAGAGGGACTCCTTTGACTTTATTTGATCGTAATCTGTGTATGTCGTCTTCAACTGCATGTTGCACCTTGCTTTCTCCGTATTTTTCTGGCAAAACGAGTACCAAACTGAATGAAGTGTTGGTAATCCCCATGTAATAATAATGACGATTACTAACTACTATACGTCGCTGTAAACATAAAAACAAAATTAAAAAAGAGAACGAGCTGGATGCTATAAAACGATAGGATTCCGTGGCCAAATTCGTTTTCAGTAGGCGATGGTACTTATGAAAATGTGCGGTTTTCGAATTTTTGAATGGTGTTATTTATAAATGGCAGTGAAAAACGAAAGGACATAAAAGAGAGTATTAGATTTGATTTAATGTAATTTTTAAGAGCCAAACATAAGAAAGTTCGATGTAGCGTTAAAAAATTTAAATACTAATAAGACACCAGGTATATATGGGATACAGGCAGAAATTTTAAAACATGCAGGATAAGAGGTTAGATATCGTATGTTTAAGCTAGTTAGTCACATTTTCGAGCCGGGTACAGTCCTGGAGGATTATAAACAGAACTTGGTAGTAACCATGCCTAAAAAGACAGGCGCGGATAGGTGCGAAACGTTTAGAACAATTATTAGCTTAACTTCCCATGCGTCAAAAATCTTAACTAGAATTGTACAGAGGAGGATGGAAAAAATGCCTGAAGAACTATTAGAGGAAGATCAATTTGGGTTCAGAAGAAATGGAGGAACGCGGGAGGTCATTCTAGCTTTACGGGTAACAATAGAGAAAACGATAGAAAAAGGAAAGAGCGCGTCCACAGGATTTAAAAATTTAGAAAAAGCTTTTGACAATGTTAAATAGGACAAGATGTTAAGTATACTTAAAAATGTAGGAATGAGTTATAGGGATAGAAGAGTGATACTATATATATAAAGAGCCACAGCCAGTTATGGCTTAATCCAGCTGAATCTGCAACGTAGGGAAGTAAATATTAGGGAGGGAGTTCGACAGGGATGCACACTGTCACCGCTACTTTTTAATATATACATCGAAGATGCTATCAACATCATTAAAGACAGTACAACTATAGGGATAGATATGCAGGGGGAAAAGATTGTTATGCTTAGATTTCCAGATAATATAGCAGTATTAGCGTCTAGCAAGAAGGACTTAGATATACCTTTAAATAAAATGGAAGCGGTACTGACGAAAACAGTGCTGTATGAAAATAAATAAAAGTAAAACAAAAATACTGGTAAGCAAGGGAAGAAAAAGTAGGGGAAGAGCGAATTTAAAGATAGGAGACGAAAAATCAGAAGAAGTGGCTGATTTAGGTAGCTAGAAGTCAGATAAGTCAGGACGGAAGAAGTAGTAGGGATATAAAGCACAGAAAAAAGAAGTCAGTTCTGTACTCGTGAAAGGTTAATTTAGAAATTCGGAAAGGGTTGTTAAAGATGTATGTTTGGAGCGCGGCACTGTACTGGAACGAAACATAGACAGTTGGCGCGGCGAAAATGTGATGTTACAGGCGAATGATGAGGATACCATGGATAAAGAAGGTTAGAAATGAAGAGATATTAGAAAGAATAGGAGAACAGAGGACTTTATGGAAGTTAATAAGGAGTAGGCGAGTTAGGTAAATGGGACACCTTCTCAAGCACGAAGGGCTAGTCAGAGACATGTTAGAAACAGAAACAGGAGTTAAGAGGAGTAGAGGTAGACTTACATTAGATTATTTTTCGCAAATAGTCAAGGATGTTGGATGTTCCAGTTTTAAGCGAATGAGAAGATTAGCTCAGGATAGGAAGGAGTGGATAAGAAAGCTTTTACATTTAGTAGTGTTCAATATATTAATTATGCTAAATATTGGTGTAAAATTAATTTAATGTCATCCCTCTACATATCGGGTTCAATTCCCGACGAGGGTGTGACAGTAGCAACAAAATTTTCCTCATTATCTTGGGGTTATCTTAAGTGGGATGAAATTAAGTTGATTTCACTTTAAAGTTTGATTTGATTAATGTAATTTTGAAGAACTTTATAACGAAATTGCGGATGCTGGAATATCTACGCCATTTTACAAAAAGAAAACAACAAAAGTTTGCTATAGATACGTCTATAGAGAGAGGCATCTATATGCAAAATTTCGTTCACGTACGCCTAAAACTGCAGAAACTTCGAGGATGTGAACGATAGCAACAGATCTCTAAATTATATTAATACCCTTTTTACTATTTGGCTATACGGACACTTAAAAAGCTATTATAATATGTACTGTAGTTACCATTTCGTCTAAGTGAGACTTAATTCTGTGCATTACATGGCCTTGCTTTTGAAAAATAATGTTTTTGCGTAATTCTTGCAAGGCCTCGTCGAATTCGCGGGGTTCAGAGTCGTCGTCCATCACTTCTACTTCCATCATGTCGACTCTGTTATAGGCAGGTTTTAAAATGCCCTGGAACTGAAACAAAAAATTAACGGGAAACATTTATTTCATTTAAAACGTATACACACAGGGTGTTATTTGAATTAATTAAAAATGGAATATAATCTTTTTCCTTTGATAATTTGAAATCTATATAAAATTAGGACAGAAGAGACGTGTAGGATTATCTGGGGGGTATTGTTACTGCCCCAGCGTTCTCCTAAGTGATCCGAAGATACAGAAATACTTGGGCCACAGGGTAGACGGACCCGAAATCTAACCTATGTCCTCCCGAATGCTATAAAAGTAATGACTTAAACCTCTAGCCTAGGTTATGCTGTTGGGTCGTGTCGTAATTTTCCTGTTGTTTGGTAAAAATTCTACTCCACAATTTCTAAAGGTTGATTTTGTGGTGTTATCGGCGGATGATTAGGATATCGTGGGTAGAAAGGGTTAGAAATGAAGAGGTATTGGAAAGAATAGGAGAACAGAGGACTCTATGGAAGTCAATAAAAAATAGGCGAGATAGGTTGGTAGGACACCTTCTCAGGCATGAAGGTCTAGTCAGAGACATATTAGAGGCAGAAGCAGGAGTTAGGAGGGGTAGAGGTAGACCTAGATTAGATTACTCTTCTCAAATAGTTAAGGATGTGGGCTGTTCTAGTTTTAGGGAAATGCGAAGTTTAGATCAGGATAGGAAAGAGTGGAGGTACGTGTCCAACCAGTCTTAGGACTGATGACCTTATGATGATGATGATGAAAGGTTGATTTATATTTGGAAAGGTTCCCTGTTCAATTTGGGAGTGAATTTGACAATGTCGGACTCTCATAATGAACCTCGATGGACCAGTTTACGAAAGGATTAAGAAACACAACGGACCTGTCTTTTCTTAGTTTTGTTACAATTTGAGTAAAAATTCTACCCCAAAATTTACTATTTACAATTTCTGGACAAATACTGATAATCCGGGAAAATTTGGAATCTTATAGATTTGATTCTAAACAAATAGTATTCGGAAAATTTTTCTCAAAGGAACAACGCTATAGAGAAAAAACAAATTATTTTTCAAACTATTTCCAAGACTTTTTTAAAGTAAGCACATGAATATCCTTATTGTGTAGAACCCATTTCTAAAAAAAATTTGGTGCTTTCACAAAAACGTCCTAATTTTACTAGAATATTATGGAAACAACTAAAAACTGGAGGGAAAGTAAGGTTAGGTAATGGTTGAAAAAGTTCCTCTGTTTAAAAATTCTACTTTATTTTTTACATGATACTAATGGTAAGACTATTAAAATTTTCTTCATTCAATTTAATAAAGATTTAGTTATTCATACTCATTACATAAATTTTGAAAATTATACTTATTGCTATAAAGGTTACTTTAAGCGATAATTTAATGTTAATCAGATATGTACCTATTATTTTCCGTTGGTAAATTATTTTTATAACAGTATTATTTGTTATGTTCTATAATGTATAAATTCAGTATTTGTCATAATTTAATAATAACAAATAATAAGATTTATACAGCGAAATAATAATAGTGATTGTTTATAAATGAACGTTTTTTTTGTGGAAATCATTTAATAATTTTCATCAGTGTTATATCTATATATAGAATAATAATAGAATATTAGTAATATCTTGCCGTGTTTTCTAGTCTTTGCTCAGAAACGAATTTTGCCGAACCGTTTTGTGCGACTCGAAGATAACTCGCATAGTTATGAAGCTTTTACTGATGAAGAAATTAGAACTATTTACAAAAAGCTACTAACATTTATGACTATTGCAAATTTCTTCTTCATACGGACTTCTCAAAGTTTCCTAATCATTCTAATTTATTTATTATTCTCGATTAATGTGCATACACTACTGAACTGATGCCGCGTCAATAGTTCGACAAAGTTCGTTTCTGGGCAAAAGCTGTAGGGCATCGGTTAAACGTGAATAAGCAGAGGAATACTTTCACTAGTTGTCTGAGGTCATTTACGGAGTGATGTGCAATTACAGATGCGGCGGGTCGGTTTCCGGAAAAGAACTCTTTTACTCCTTTGAATTTAAAAATTGTGAGGTAAGAAACACTTCGTTAAATTTTATTATTACTACATTTACTATTGGAGTTTTTCTTGATATTTTCGCCTTATTGGATATTTATGTTTCTTCCTTCTTTATCTATTGTATATAATTTAAAAATTATACCAGTCAACATGGATCAGGAAACTAAGACCCGATATGTTACCTACTTGTTTCTCAACTTTTGCCTTTTTTACGAAAAGATTATAATAAAGGGCAAAACTAAGAAAAAACGCATTTCCAACGCATCTTTTATTGCTGAATCCGAATTTTGCTCTAAAATGTCTCAATTACATCCAGTTTTTTAAAATATCTGAATTTCAAAAGATGAGCGATGCCAGTGTGGTTTTCATAGTTTTGCAATCGTATAAGATACGGATGTAAGGTGACGTAAACGATGCACTCTAGATCCGGCTTCTGATTCATGGGGTCCCACAAATGGCCCTGCATTCGAAATGAACTTTGCATAATATAAAAAATGCGGCAGGGTGTCAGAAGCTAATAGGTGTTTTGACGAATGTGTATTTTTGCGAAATTGAAGGAAGTTATTCATAATTTTAGCTGCTTTAACGAACCATGGAAATTCTGAGGACATGGTCGAGTTTCTGTTCAAAATACCATGACTCGACTCTAACCTCAGAATTACCTTACTACCTATATAATGAAATTTTAAAATGTCCTAATTTTAAAGCCAAAATGTACCGAGTAAATTTTGAGGTCGAATTCGAAAAATTATTAAGTACTGTCAAGAATTCTGAACATGGATATTTTTATTTTGAGGTTAGGATACATCTAAATCCTGAAGCACTGATGAAGAAATTTTAAGGTCAGAAGTGGTCAAAGGCAGTGTTTTCATTTTTTGTTTTGAAACTTTGCTGAGTCAAAAAATTTTAACTCCAAAATTTATAATTTCATTTCCTTTACTCCGAAATATTTCGGACTTACTGCTATTGAAGAAACTGGATTTTCAGATTCTAATGGTATCTTACTGATAAAATCTCCATGAAGTATCATGGTGGGGTTATAAATATTCGACGTTTCGTGTCCCATCACAAGGAACATTTCCAACGATGTTACTGGAGATCGACAACGTGAATCTTCTGAAGATGTCCTTTGTGATATGAGACGAAATGTTTAAGTCTTCTGATGTTACCATGGTCATGGGGATTTTATCAATAAGACACTGTTACAATCCGGAAATCCAGTTTCTTTTGACGACAGCTGTGAAAGCCTAAATCAACTTGTAACTGAAAGCAATTTTGATATTTAGTTTTTAGTTCCTTCTGTTTATTCCTTGGAGGCTTGCATTATTCCTTCCAATGATTACAACATTACAAGTCATACGATTTTGTATTTTTGAAACTACATTTACATTGAAAATTAAATATTAATTAATTGTTTAAAAACCGTATACTTAGTTAAAAAGAATTAAACTTTGAATTAATTTTTATCACTATAAATAACCTTAAATTAATGAGGAACACGGGTTCGATTCCCGGCGAAGGCATGACAAGAGCAACAATTAAATTAATCGAANATGCACTGTTTATTGATAAATTTTTTGGAATGATAAATCGGTTACAAAGTACGTCTAAGGACTCCAGTGAGTGTTTGCTTAAGAGAAGTACTCCTGAATGATAAGTGTTGAATAAATTTGCAAAAGGCAATTTGTTTTCCAATTGAATTAAACTTTGAATTAATTTTTATCACTATAAATAACCTTAAATTAATGAGGAACACGGGTTCGATTCCCGGCGAAGGCATGACAAGAGCAACAATTAAATTAATCGAACTGGGTTGTTTTTTAATTCGTGTATGCAACTGTCGTTGTTTAAAATTATTTTTAAACACGAAACTGAGTGAATATATTTTTGTTGCAGAATTGTGCGTTGGACTTTCGTGTTGTGGTTGAAGATTGGCTTCAGCGCTTCTTCCCGGTGAGTCTTATTATTATGCATAGACAAGAATATTTGTGTTTTAATGTCTTTATTGATGCCGCTGTATTAATTGAAAGACAATTTTATAGTTTAATGTTTCATACTCATATAAAATACAGGTTTCATTTAAACCTGTCATACTTCTACTTCACGGAAAAATTAAATCTCTGTATACGAATATTTCTGAGAACACTGATGGTACAGTTTTTCTGACGTTTCACTAACTACTGTGGTTGACCTAAAGTCCTTAACTACGATTTATTCAGACTTCGTAGACATTGTTTTTTGAAGATACCAACCACAGTAACGAAACGTCAGATCGGTGCTTTCATCGAAGAAAAAATAATTCTAGACCACTGTCATCAAGCTCAGATATCAACAATTATTTAGAAATCAATATTGAGTCTATACAAATACCCATATCTCTTGCAGTAGGTAATTCCTATATGATGTTTTGAGTACAGTAAATCATAACCAAAATACCGTAATGACTTGTATACTTCGTTTACTTTCTCTAGCGAAGTTCCCCTTCCAATGTCTTAGATGCGCGCTGGTAAAATCGTAGGTAGGGAGAAAAAAGCTCATTATACTCTCGGCTCTTGTTCATTAAACATAGTTTTTCATACAGTACCTGCCAAAAGTTTTGTTCGATTATGAATAGTAGTGCGAGTCGAAAACAAGCGTTAAAGCCTTTAATATGTCTTTAAATATAAATAAACATCTCGTTGATATTTTCAGTAGTAAATGGTACCAATAACAGCACATTTGAGCAATGTAATTGTAGTGGATTAAATGGTCAATTTTTCCGTGCAGTACTGTATGGATTATACGCTCCTCACTGGTTAAGAGTTTGACCGAGAGTTGTCTCTCTTTTCTGACCTAGTGCTATTCTTTTCTACTTTGCGCCGGTCACACTAAAGGTCACATCGCTAGAGAAATTAACGGTAGTTTAGCTTTGCTTTGCTATTAAAAAATCATTATTGACATTTTCACACACATGAACGTCCCGAAATTCGCGAGTTTTTTATTTTTGCTATTAAGGCTTAATTTTTTGTTATGTTGCAATCATGAGTAAAATGTAGTAATTTTATAAAAATGATCCAGGATTTATACTTACCACTGGCCTCAAATCAGGATGAGTTAAAATATAACCATTATTTGTAACGATAAAGATGTAACCATTCACTCCAACCTAACAAGAAATAAACACTGATAAGTTTCATTCAACAACAAATAATAGTAGACAGTCTAAAATGGCGGCCAAAAATCGCCATATTATCGAGGGCGTATTTTGTTTAAGAGTTGCCCTTTGTTTGAAAAAATGACTTTCAAAACTTAAAAGAAGAGAGGATTGTTCTATATGCTAATCATTATTGATTTGAACTAGTTTTGAAAAAGTTTTTTTGGTAATTTTAATACTACCTTATGAGGTATTACTACCTTATGTATGATAATTTCGTCATAGTGTGGAGATATTTTTATTTTTAAATCGATAATTTACGTAAAATTAACGATTAAAAGAATCAGATACTTACCCTATAGGGTAAGGCCAGTCTTCTTATATATTCAACTGGGACGTCAGTACCAGCAACTCCCAACAAGTTCGCAACTCTTGTCTAAAACAGACCATTTAATTTTCTATAAAATAGGTCTATTAAATGTACCTATTCTGTAATACATAAAATCACATTAAACTAGCTTCTATTTTTCTATTCTAATTTTATATACCTAATCTAAAAACTATCTTAGCATTATTTGTCATGTAACTATCTATAAACTAAGAATAATTTATTAATGTTGGCTGCCTTGATCACTACATAATATTATAGGTTGCTATGTTTGTATATGCTACTTTTTAAAGTAAACGTTTTCACTATAGGTAATACTTGTTTATTAGTTGCCTTTTTCGATGCTGAAACATTTGAACAAATAGGAAATGCTTTAGTTTTTCGAATATAATAAAACCAGTTAATGTTTCTTTTTTAATAGTGGCAGTTTTCGAATCTTTTTTGATGTTTTTAGAACAGTAAGTACGTAGTAGCTGTCAAATGTCTTCTTAGGTTAGGGCTCCGATATTACTACTCGTCCTGCATACATCGCCAGGTCGATTATTTCATTTCCGCACTTTAGTAGATATCATATCTAATGCCTAATTATTACAGTGTTATACGTAAGAAGAAATTTCTATACACATAATAATTCTAACCTATATAAATATATTATCTAAATAATAATGTCTATGTAGGTAAGACACACTGAGTCTATGATATGTGTTGTTAATTCCGTTGGCGTCTAGCTTGCTAAAAAGGATTTAAACTTCTAGCAACAGCTTTTGAAACTAGCCATACCTGTATATATAAAAGTATTTTTTTTGTTTATTTACCTCTCGTGTTACTGTTATCCAAATTTCTTCGTTAACTTGGATCAGTTCAGTGATGTTCTGAAGACCGATTAATTCGTTTATTATTTAAATCAATTAAAATAAAAGACAAAGATGTCTTGGTTAATACAAAATATTTTTTTAAGTATGTTTTGTTAGGTACCTTAATTTTACCTAAACCTAAATAAATAATAACCGTTCACTTTATCCATTAGATACCAGAATACTATAAAATATATAATGCTTACATCCTAGGCGATATACAAGAACCTTATTACAATTCTTTTTGGGTCGCTTATTCATTAATTTGTAATATAAAAATCATATGACAAATAAAAAACAATTGTGTAGTTTTAAGAAATCAGGATGCAAGTGAAAATATTCTATTTAGGATATTAAAATTAAAATCGCGTTCTTAATCTTATCTTAATGATTAGAAATGGGAATGATAATGGAAAATCAATAGTAGACGAGATATCCAACAATAAATTTTAATTTCAATCTGCGCATGAGAGTACGGAATGCATAATAAATACAATCATTCAGATGATAGACGCATGTTAAAAACTGAGAACAATATTTATTTAAATCGTTGAATCATTTTGAACTTCAGTTATTCTATCAATAAATTCATCTTCGCTTTGAGTTTCACAGTCTATGAATGTAATTGTCGTGCACTTGCACGAATGAGTGAGAATATAAATGCTACACGTTTGGCTGAGCGCCGTCATATTGGCCTTGGCTGCTCTGCCGAGTGCCTTTCAGTTTTACCCCTACTCCGTGGCCGGCTGTACGCGACATGCGATAGATGGACAAAAAAATTTGAGGCGATGTAGTAAAAGTTTCACTTTAAAAGAAAACAAAAGAATTATGAATATTAAGCCTTACCGCGTTAGGCCTTTTGTCGTATACTGGTAAAGATACGGACGTCATTAGATGATAGTTCTGTAATTCTCCATAATTATCCTGCCTCTAAAACAATCAAGAAAACATTTGTTTAACTCGTACAATTTATATTACAAACACATGATTATCATATCAACTTGTATGCTTACAAATTTCTGTTGATGCACAAATTTTTTGTCCCTCTCGTATGTAAGATAAAACAGAGTTCTGTTTCTTCTGTACAATAAAATTCTTTCTCTCTGTTCGTTTCTTTGACGGTTTCGCCACAGCCAGTTGGTCAGCTTGGGGTCTGTTACGTCAGCATAAACGGGGCTCCAGGCCGGGTTAGGTTTTAGCGTATCGCTCAGCACCAACGGACGCGCCATTACGGAAATGTATTGGAGTACCTGCTCCCTCACTTCCGCATAGGTGCTTAAATGGACGTAATAACCTAACAAAAAGATGGCAAAAATTATATTATTCATACCATTACCTCGGACATCCGCCGTTATTTTCATAATTTAATCTACACATCGAAGACGCGATCAACATCATTAAAGGCAGCACAACTGTAGGGATAGATATACTGGGGCAAAAGATTAGTATGCTTAGATTTGTAGATGATATAGCGGTATTAGCATCTAGCAAGGTGGAACTAGAGATAGCTTTAAATAAGATGGTTGCGGTACTGACAAAACACTACTGTATGAAAATAAATAAAAGTAAAACAAAAATACTGGTATGCAAGGGAAGAAAAAGTAGGGAAAGAACGAATATAAAGATATGAGACGAAAAATTAGAAGAAGTGGCTGATTTTAGGTATCTAGGAAGTCAGATAAGTCAGGACAAAAGGAGTAGTAGGGATATAAAGCAAAAGATAGCGCAGGATCGAGTAGCCTTCAATAAAAAGAAGTCACTTGTATGCTCGCGAACAGTTCATTTAGAAATTCAAAAAAAGTCGCTAAAGGTGTACGTTTGGAGCGCGGCGCCATATGGGTGCAAAACATCCACAGTGGGCGCCGTAAAAGAAAAGGTTAGAAGCGTTCGAAATGTGGTGTTACAGGCGAATGATGAGGATACCATGGATAGAGAAAGTTAGAAATGAAGAGGTATTAGAAAGAATAGGAGAACAGAGGACTCTATGGAAGTCAATAAGAAATAGGTAGGACACCTTCTCAGGCATGAAGGTCTAGTCAGAGACATATTATAGGTAGAAATGGGAGTTAGGAGGGGTAGCAGTAGACCTAGATTAAATTATTGATGTGGGTTGTTCTAGTTTTAGGAAAATGCGAACATTAGCTCAGTATAGGAAAGAGTGAAGATGCGTTTCCAACCAGTCTCAGGATTTACGACCTTGTGAGGATGATGTAAAATTGATCAAGCGCAGCAATTTAATAGCCTATATTTTACAATTTCGCTGCACATCAACTAACAAATGTGGTATAGAAGCTAGCGTTGTGTTTGTTAAACACACAGTTTTCAAGTAACGGCAATCGTCCAATGGTATCGGTGGTTAACTGTCATGCAGAAGGTCCCGGGCTCGAGACTCGGCCCTTGCTACAGCTTTTTTCAAATATTGTTCAATAATCTTTTACTAATTTCCATGGGCGTAGAGAGAGATTTTTCCCGGGAGGGGAGGGGGGCAGATTGACTTTCATTGTAGTAGTAGTCATCATAGAATTTTTGTAATATAATAGTAATAATCTTTTTGAAACGATTAGGTCTATAGTCTTAATAAAATCTGCTTCAATTATAAGATTAAGTATAATTAATGTAAATACCTTGATTTGCGCATGCCATCCACTTTACTTCCCTTACATCGGAGACTTCCCTTCCGATCAAATAGGTGAACACCCTGACGGGCATAAACGGAAGATTTTGCCAATTGTATTCGTCGAAAATCTCTTTGTAGTTATACTGAACTCCATCCGTGACCAACATTATGGCTTGGTTACATTGAGCACCTGAAAATAGGTGTCGATCGATATTGAAAACTGTTTTGGGGTAATGCCTAATGCCGTATCCAAAATTAGCAAACTTGTCAAAATAAGGAGACATTGTCCTGAATGAATTGGGTGCAAATTCAGGATCTTTAACTTTGTCTTCAATGGACGTATATGTATTGTAGATACTTCTTTGGACGGTTGTTACTTACCTCCCTAGACGAAGAGAAGAAACAAAACAAATATTGTTTCGGCCATAGCGATCATTATCTGGAGTATACTCAACAAAGCAATTAAAATCTTTCGTGAAACTTATTTGTTTTCTTTCTTCTCTCCGTTTTGATACGTTTCATGAAACTATTCAAAGTTTAAGTTTTACTTACCTAAACGCTCTTCTCGGTATCTTTCTAACAGTTTGAAAGCCGTTGTTAGGGCCAGGGAGAAGTTTGCAATTTGTTCAGTTTTGAAGTCAGTCATTGCCTCCTTCAAAGCTCTTGTGTTCGCCATGTTTGCCTTTAACAAAAATCAACAGATTTTTTAAAGCTTTATTGAAAAGCAACTACTAGAACCGCTTTGTGATTAGGGTGATTAGGTAAATAAACTTAGGCCTTCTGAAATAAATTTGCTTAAGAAATTAAGATCAGTTCGGGTTTAGAAGAAATATGTTAGAGGAACGCGGAGGGCCACTTTGGATTTACAGGTAACAATAGAATAAAGTCAAAGAGCATAGGATTCGCATATTTAGAAAAAGCTGTGGAAGATGTTAAATTGGACAGAATTTTAAATACAGTTAGAAATGTAGGGGTGAGATACAGAGATAGAAGACGCGATAAACATCACACACAGGACAAGGGACTAAAGTTTAGTAGGCTTAGATTTGTAGATGATATGGCAGTTTTAGTATCTGGCAAAGAGGAGTCAGAGAAACAAAACAGTATTGTATGAAACTAATGAAAGATGAGGATACCGTAGATAGAGAAGGTTTGAAATGAGGAGCTGTTACAGAGAGCGGGAGAATGGATATGCTATAGAAGTCAATAAGAAATAGACGAGATAGGCAGGTCACCTTCTCAGGCATGAAGGGCTAGTTAGAGATGTATTAGAAGTACGAGGGGGATTCAATAAGTACCCGTGTTTGAAGACAGAGGACGTTCCTGAGGGAAATTGGTGTTGTCATCGTGTGCTACCATCTATCAAACCACGTCAAAATGAATTTCAGACTGATTGATAGGTTAGTTTGGATTTGGCAGCCATTCCACTCAGACGTGCTTCGTTATTTTCGCTAAGATGGAAAAAGAGCAGTATCGTTCGGTAACTCGCTTTTTGTTTTTGGATGGGAAAAAATGCGAGGAGATAAAAACAAAGTTGGATACTGTTTATGGAGACATTTCGCCATCTACGACCACAGTTAGATATTGCTTCAACGAATTTAAACGTGGGCAAAGATCTGTTTTTGATAGGAGCGACCAGGAAGCCTGGCAAACGTTGTTACTGAGGAAATCATTTTACGAATTTTTTAGGAAAAGGAAGAACGATCACTGGACAATACTACAGTGAGTTATTGGACCGCTTCGACAAAAAATTGAAGCAGACACGGACGCATTTGACGAAAAAGAAGGTGCGTTTTCAACACGATAACACAGCGGCACATTCATCAGGAGTTGTTGCCGCCAAAATGCATGAGTTACGTTATGAATTTGCTGCCGCACACCCCCTACTCACTCGATGTAACTCCCTGCGACTTCATCTTGTTGCCTACCATTAAGAAATGACTAGCGAGAAAGACATTAAGCTCAAACGAGGAAGTCATCGCCGAGACCAGGGGGGGATTTTGGAGAGTTCGACAAATCTTATTTTTTGGAGGGGTAAAAAAAATGGCAGGGTCGTTGGGAGAAGTGTATCTTTCTAAAAGGGGACTATGTTGAAAAATAAAAAAACAAATAAAAAAAAGGTGTCTTAATGTCTAACACGGGTACTTATTGAACCGCCCTCGTAGATACAGAAGTCAAGAGCATAGAGGTAGTTCTAGACTAGATTATCGTTCACAAATAGTTAAGGATGTGGGATGTTTTAGTTTCAGAGGAATGAGAAGGTTAGAGCGGGATTGGAAAGAGTAAAGATTCGTGTCTAATCAGTTTCAGTACTGGCGAGTCCATGATAATGATGAAGATGATGGTGATGATGATGAGGAAATTGATAAAATATTTAAACCATTCAACGCAAGAAGGATTTAACTTTAATCCTAAATTAGTAGCAAACTTTTGGGTTATACTGGGTGTCAGTAAAAACTTTGGTGATCTTTTTGTGGCAAATTTTGGTCTAGTGACTAAACAATAAAGTAAACTTTTACAATTAGTATAAATAGATTTCTTGAAAAGTCGTACTTGCACTAATCGATCGTCAAAGCATTCGATGAGAGCCTCCGTGGTGTTGCTGAAGGTGAAAATATTTACGAAATCGTTATTACTCAGTGTGTCAAGTATGTTGTTGACTACGTGCCGGGCTATTTCGCGGCGCATGCCTGTCATCGAGCCCGATCTGTCGACCAAAATAACAATGTCTTTGGGTGACGAGGCAGCCTGGATGTACCAGGCTCTTGTGCGACAATCGTATAAATCAACGGGTTCTTGGGACCAATTCATTGCTAGAACAAATAATCTAATGTTGTAAGAAACAGTAAAAAATTATCTCGGCGATAGAAAAAGTAAGTCTCTCTTCAGGAAATGGCGTACCTTAACCTAACTTAACTTGTAATGATACCGTCGACGAGCGATAAGACACAGTCAATAACAATGTATAGCCTTTAGAGCATACTATGCATCGTTTGTCGTTAATCTGTTTTCTTGGAGCGTATAGTGAAATTTTGAAGGGTGTTAGCTAAAGAAAACCAGACGAAGTTGTAATCCGAAGCCGGCCCTGGTCGTGAATTGGTAACATATAGAAAAATTGCGATGGTAACTAAACAGCTTCATGATAAAAAATGTAAACAGTAACGGTTGTGGAATGACTAATTAAAATAAATATCAACAGCTATCTTGCAATCAATTAATTAAATAATTATTTGGGTTATTGCTGGTAGTATGCAGTATTATTTAAAGTACATCTTGACAAAAGAAAGAAAATATTAAAAGTATGTAAACTTTAATAGGAAAATTAATATTCTGTGGACTTTTTTATTCTGCGTCGTGTAAAAATATCTGATATTTGACGTACTTCATTTGCAGCGATCATACACGCCGTTTCATATAACCCCACACAAAGAAGTCACATGGATTTAGATCAGGAGTACATATAAAAAAAATAGATTAGTACAAAACTACAAAATCAATACAACACGGATGCTGCTAAGTAACAAATTATTGAATGCGGCGTTGCAATGTCGCATTTCCCTGCGTGATCCTACCAGGACCGCACTGATTCTTCCCTGTACGTTTTTATCGAAATCACCAAATATCTACTTAATTTTTTTGTTTTATAGCGTCCTATTACTTCCTACAAGCTAGCTGTTTATTTCAGAAACACCCTGTATATAAACTCCATATAACTCCTGTGCAAATATAGATAAAAGTACATCTTAAAGAAAGAAAACTTTAACAGTATGTAAACTTTAATAGGAAAATTAATATCCTGTTGATTTTTTTATTTTGCGTCGAGTAAAAATTGCAGCAATCATACACGCCGTTTCATACAACCCTAAAAAGAAGCCACATGGATTTAGATCAGGAGTACAAATAACAAAAATACATTAGTACAAAACTACAAAATCAATACAACTCGGATGCTGCTAAGTAACAGATTATTGAATGTGGCGTTGCAATGGACTGATCCTTGCCTGTGCTTTCAAGTACGTTTTTATCGAAATCACCAAATATCTACTTAATTTTCTTGTTTATAGCTCCCTATTACCTCCTACAAGCTAGCTGTTTATTTCAGAAACACCCTGTATATAAACTCCATATAGCTCCTGTGCAAAGTTAGATAAGGACAATACTTTATTTGTCATATTATTTCAAATTGTATTGTTGCAACTGTAGTTTTATAGATTGCAGTTTATTTATTTTTAGATAGGTACTTATTGATTGAGGTTTTATATGTTTGTTAATACCTGGAAAAAATCTCATAAATCCTGTTGAACTCCCAAAATATTGCCAAGATAGGTTCGGGTCGTTTTTGTAATTCGATCTAAAAATTTGATCCAATTCTTCGGACCATTTTATGCCTTTTATTACTTCTTTCGCTATAAATAATCGTAATAACAGTTGAATCGTTTTGTGTTGTTTACAATCAGGAACACTTACACCTTTCGAAAACATTACTTGGGACGTGAACCGCGCTAAAATTAGTGTTAACCGGTATGTTATTGAAATGGGGATTTCGTCTGAGAGGTAGTCTTCTCTTGTCGGTTGGTGGTTTCTGGCTGGCTTGAGCGTCCTCTTCCAACTCGTCAGTCACCTATTACAAAACAAATAATTGAATCAGCTCAAATTATCATTACTGCTGTATAGTTAGATTTATGTATGTATATCACTGTAAAACTGTAGTGAATTTCTTGTATTGGTGGTGACAACTTCGTTCGTGTTGTTACGATTCTAAGCAATAAGATGAAAGCATTTCTTAGCTAATACATTGAAAATTAAAAGAAGCCATTAAAAAATTGCTAAGAGTAGGGACCATCAAAATTGGTGATGGTGATTAGTGGAACTCGATATGTTCAACAAGGTTTATTTATGTTGACGGATGATATACTTGGGACGATCAAAATTAGCAAAGTCCTCAATAAATTATCTGTGGGAACGGACTTATCTTCTTTCTTGTTTCAACTTGGGACTGTAGTCATTTGCTGCATTTTGAACACGCTCCTACTAAGTCAGGAAATGCTTCATGAGTAGTACAGAGAACGTGAAAAGAGATAACCTAACCTAACAGTAAGCGGTGCATCGGTTAGAAGTTGCTTAAGTATGCAAAAGATCATGGTCGGCTTTATAACTGCCTGGTTGGCATTATGTCTTTAAACAAGCGTCTTCACTTTGCTAAATAGAATGTTGAACTTTCGAATAACCGAATAACAATAATTTTTGCAGCGGTTAAAGGTTACTTGAGCACGTAAAAGAACAGGGTCGGCTTTATAACTGCCTGGTTGGAATTATGTCTTTATACAAGCGTCTTTGCCCTCATAAATTCCTAAGAATATTGAACTTTCTTTAAAGTCCTATGCTGGCAACATGCTCAAATTCTGATTGTATAACTGCGACCGAATTTCATTGATTACTCTCTGAGGTTCTGCCTTTAATCGAGGAATTGGATTAATTTGAGCAGAATAAATTTTAAATTTACGAATCTCCACAAGAAAGAATCGTATGACTGATTCACTCCACTGCTACGTGAGATGAGTCGTCCATTAAATTTCTGCGGTAACAGTGGATATTGTTATTGTGGATGTATGGAATTATATGCACGTTCCACTTAAATCCATGCTATTCAAATGAAGCCCTAAAAAGTTCGATACGATCTTCCAATATCGTTCCCCACTGACAGTGACTGCGTTTCCAGCCTCAATTTCGAATAAGACTGAACCATTCATCCCACCAGCATGAAATTCACACTCTTTGGACGTACAATGGTTTTTCTTGAATGACCCTACGATTATTATTCTCTCAAGCCACGAAGATGATGTTGCACTTCTCCGCTAAAGATGATTCTCTTAGCAAAATCACCATCCATTTGTTAATTCTCCAACATCCAATCAACGAATGTCCAGCGCATTAAATGGTCATCAGGCTTCAATTCCGGCTTTCCTGAAACTCAACTGGATGCAGATGCAACTCTTTTGTTAAATTTTGTTGGGTGTCTTCAGTTGCAGCGACCGATGACGCAATGAGGTTAAGGGAATTTTCGTCATACTGTCACTCACTGTAGCAATAGCTTTGGCTAATCGGCCAATACAAACCTTTTGGGTGTTTCATTTCATTTCCACCAGCTATTAATAGGGTGGCCATTACGAGAAACGCTTAAACTTTTGGATGTTTCATTCTCACTAGTTACTAATGCTGGTGGGCGGGTAGTACCTTTAGACTACGCCGGAAGGTCCTCTTCAGCCTCCTTTAGAGGTCGTGGGATTGGGTGGTTGTGGTTAGGGTGAGAAAGATGAGGTGGACAAAATGAAAGCAGAAGAGAGTTAAAGATTATATATGGAATATTACTGTTCCAGCATTTGCTTAAGTAATCCCAGGGAACTAACGAAAAACTTGAATTAGGATAGACGGATCCGGAATCGAATCAGCGTCATCCCAAATATTAAACAGTGGTCTAAACCTCTAGGCTGTGCCGCTTGGTGGCCACTACAATGGAACCAGTTTACTGACATTCAGGAAGTAATCCCACAATTGTTTCTTTAAGGGTCTTTCTTCTACCGAAAATTCCACGTAATTTGTGCACACCCCGCTACACACTCTCTATTTTTGTAATGAATTTTTGCTTTCTTTACTCGCCCATCCGTCTCATAGGGTTCCATTGAGTTGAAACGCAATGTGTCTGCTGCAACATGTCACTCTCAAGAACGGTGCCAACACTTCGGACTGAAATAAGCTCGTAATTCAAATCGTGCGTTCCTTTTGGGATATTCATCTAATATTGCTAGTCCAAAATAGCAGATGATATTGATGTGTTAATAAATGATATTGATGACTTAATGAGTTAATAGAAACTAAGAATGTGTGTGACTTTTGAACTTTATGCGTTTTAGTTTGTCCTTATTTTTTTTTGTTTAACACTCTTATCACCAAATACAGAATTTACTTTCAATGTGTTCCCAATAATATATTTTCTGTCTTATCTTCTCAGGTCAGTCTTCAGAAATAAAACCTTATTACTGTGATTGTGTATTTAGTCCTTACCTCAATATTTGTATTGGACGGATGTTCCATGTTCAGTGTTTGCTCCTCTGTTTCAATTGACTCTTGATCCTGGACCACAATGTTATTACTAATTTTTTCGTCATAATCGCTTTCGTCATTGTTATTTCGAACCTCTTGCATATGGGGATAGTGATTGTTATTATTATCGTTGTTGTTATTGGTCTGCAAGAAAAGATTTTGAAACAGTATCTTTTAATATCTACATGGTGGACCAAACATGTCTACTGCAAGGTAATGGTTTTCAAATTTTTGGTTTGGTAAGTTTACCTAAGATGTGTTTTTTGATTGAAGTTCCTTATCGCACGTTACTGCAGCAAGGAGTTAACCTTTATATTTCCCCGAAGATTCTTATTGCGAAAAGGGAATGTTAAAACAAATAAAAAAATTATTTGGCGCAAAATAGTATGGCCGTTTTTCCTTTAGTTATGAAGACGTATTTAAACAAAGTTCAAGTAACAATAAGAATTAATTTACAACAAAAATTAAATTGTGTATATTATTAATTAAATAAGTCCCCTTTTATCTAAGCTGGTTCTAAATTCTCTAGATGTAGAGAAAATTCCCTGGGTTTGGTAACGTAGGCTAAACATCGAATATGTTGGTAGAAATCTCTCTTCCTTTTGGTTACTGTTGAGAGAGCTGTCAAAATATTTTTAATTAGTCTGTCATCTGATGAATACATTCACTATTATTATCATCATAATCAATGTAAGATCGTCAGTCCTAAGACTGATTGGACAGGCACTCCCATTCTACCCTATCCTAAGTTAATTTTCACTTTTCCTAAAACTAAGCACGCCTTATATCCTTAACTAATTCTGCATAGTAATCCAACTCCTTTTAACTCCTATTTTTGCTTCTAATATGTCTCCAACTATCCATTCATACCAACCTAACTCGCCTATTACTTATCGACTTCCACAGCGTCCTCTGCTCTCCTACTCTTTCTAATGTCACTTCATTTCTAACCTTTTCTATCCACGGAATCCTCATCATTCGTCTGTTACACAACATTCAACTCAACTATCGACGTCTGTATCCGTACAGAACCGTGGAAAAAAAAACTTTTGAGTATTTCATTCTCACTAAGCATCAATGTTGGTGGGCGGGCAGTCCCTCCGGACTACGCAGGAAAATAGGGCGGAAGGTCCTCTTCAGTTTCCTTTTAGGAATCGTGGGAATGGGTGAGAAAGATGAGACGAACGGAATGAAGACAGAAGAAAATGAAATATTATTGTCTGTGAAATATTACTGCCCCAGGATTTGTCTAAATGATCCAAGAAAACCACAGAAAAACTTGGACAAAGGCAGATAAACCCGGAATCGAACCGGCGTCCTTCCAAATGCTGAGCAATGGTCTAAAGCTCTAGACCATGCCGCTCGATATAACCGTGTTCGAGACATACACTTATAACAACCTTTTTCGAATTTCCAAATTAACCGTTTGAGAGCAAAAAAGTGAGTTTTCACCCGTTAGTAGTAAGCGATAGGTCTAAAATCCATATTTTAGCATCTTTAACAGTTTTTTCTACGAAACACCTTGTCCAAAATGTATAATTAATATTTTGTTGAATAGCGTAAGGAACTTCATTCTTAACACATCTTAAGTAGGTTTATTTATTGATCTGCTAGATGACGATGACCTACCGCTTCTTCTTCCGATTCATTGACCAATGGATTAATTAAATTTTTCGCATTGTAGAAATCAAAATTTGGTTCGACATAATCTCCTTGGCTTACTGCCTTGTTTTCGGCGACTTCCATTATTCTCTAGAAATGATTAATTTTATTATTATTATATTTAGATCATTATTCCCATAAAAACCTTCACTTTTCAAATTTTAGACTCATTTGCAAGACTCTTGATTTGAATTTTTATCAATAATTATTTATGGATTAAAACACTATCATAGTTTTAATACAACAAAAAATTAAAAATATTCTGTATTTGTATTAATACCTCTAAGCCTTAGAGGAACATATGTAGATTATCATAGATTTGAAAAAATAAGTGGAGTATTTACTACAACCAATTCTGATTGTTTATTTACAATAGCTTTCTTATTAACTGAAGCATTGGTTATCTCCTTAATAACTGGTAAGTTTAATTTACAACTTTTTGATGTGGTGCATCTTCTGTTGTTGCTCTATTTGACTCACAGTTAAAGGGAACCTTCTGTACAGTTACATCTGTATTCATGTTCCTTAATTCTTGCATTTAAGGACGAACCGCTTTGTCCAATGTATGTATTTATGTATATTACATCACATAAATAGTAATGTAATTTGTAAAGACCGCTGCTTTGCGTACTTGTTTATTGTTTTATAGTTACAACCATGACTTTAGAAAATGACGAATTTATAGTGAATTGAATAAAATAATTCGATGTGGCCCGTATTCTGTCGAAACTGCCAGACGCGGATCACGATTTCGATCTTTTCGGATCTCATCAGCGTTTCGCAGACAGCTTCGACAGAAGACAGGCCAACTTTTAGCTGCTGTCTTAACAGCGCGTTTTGGAAAACACCATAAATGGCGCGGTAAACGTCATCTGTAGTACGATGCTACATTTTAGGATTACGTATGCTCCAACAAGGTCCATTTAAATATATGGATATCTACTTGCTGAAACGAATCCCGGCGTAGCTAACCTCAACGTGACAGGCACGTTACCATAATCGATTATGGTATGATCTATATATTTAAATGGACCTTGTTGGAGCATACGTAATCCTAAAATGTAGCATCGTACTACAGATGGCGTTTACCGCGCCATTTGTGGTGTTTCCTTATCGTGAATTGTAATGAAACTAATTTAGCCACAAACTTTTTTTGTTGTTAGGTCTTAGTAGGGCTAGTAATTTTTGTAATGCAATCGATTTTATCAATTTGGGTAGAATTCGTACAAACACCTTCAACAATCTGTTCGTATATAATTAATGAAGTCCAATAAATGGAATTTTAAGCATTTGTGTTCACGAATTCGGTTAGTTTAGGATAGGTGTTAGTGAAGTAGGTGATATTTGCATATAGACGTGGTTGGTAATGAAATGTCAGCACATACCCTAACAGCTTTGACCTTTTCTTCCATCATGTTGCTAATCCGGTCTGCAATCTGTTTCACCAAATTGTCACCGTTTTCATTTTCGATAGTATATCTTTTAAAGCTCTGAAAAGAGAAAAAATAGCTACACTGCTACAAATGTTCGTCTGTACAATGATAAATGGACCATCAGATAGCACAATACTTACATCCACCACGAACGTTCTTCTGGTGACCATTTCGCCAAAACTCTTTAGCTCTGCTCCCAACTTCTGGGCCCAGTTCCGCACACTAAGGAAGTAAAATAATTTGAAATAAAGATACAGTTGTGGGGCTGTTCATAGATGTATTAGGTGTATTAGGGGCCATCGATAAATTACGTCACACGTTATGGGGGTGGGAGGGGGTCGACGAAGTGTGACATTGTGTGACAAGGGGATGGGAAAATGTAGATACGTGTTAAAACACGAACTTTGCAATATTAACAAAAAACTTAAAAACATTTGCAACTCTATCTGAATAAACATAAGATTCAAATTGTTTTGTCGGCCACTCGCTCTACTAGTGTTACGCGACGGGGGTGGCTTCAAAGTTCATGGGCTCAAGATAATTTCTTTAATTAATATAAGTAATCGTTTTTTTTTTTTGTTAATTTCTTGAAATGTTAATTTTATTAAATCACTACATAGTATAAAACAAAGTCGCTTTCCCGCTGTCTGTCCCTATGTATGCTTAAATCTACGCAACGGATTTTGATGCAGTTTTTTTTTAAAGATAGAGTGATTCTTTTCGATAATAATCTAAACNTAAAGGGGTGGCTTCAAAGTCCAAGGGCTCAAGATGATTAAGTTTTCTTTAATTAATATAAGTAATCGTTTTTTTTTTGTTAATTTCTTGAAATGTTAATTTTATTAAATCACTACATAGTATAAAACAAAGTCGCTTTCCCGCTGTCTGTCCCTATGTATGCTTAAATCTACGCAACGGATTTTGATGCAGTTTTTTTTTAAAGATAGAGTGATTCTTTTCGATAATAATCTAAACAAAACAAAAATATATTTAGTATCAGCATTGCACCCGTGCGAAGCTGCGGAGGGTCACTTGTAATTTAAATAGAAATAAAACTAATTTCGGAACTGCTGTTTTAATTTAATAATTTCTAGATGAAACAATTGCAAAATATGTGACATCACATTAGGAAGGGGGGGAGTTTCACAAATGTGACCAGCTGTGATAAGGACGGGGGAGGGGTCAAAAAATCATAAAATTCGTGTGACGTAATTTATGGATGGCGCCTTACGCCACGCTGTCTTTTTCATTTCTTGGACTCCCTCCCCCTTGCCATGTTACGTCACGAATGTCTTGTAACTCCCCCTTCCCACTTGTCACACCAAGCTGTTGTTTGTGCGCTTCTGCTGGGGTTAATCCTGCGCAAACGTTACGTTATTTTGAGACCTCCATTGTTACATTTCATCACGCTACCCCCACATCTACCCCCCCTGGTGACGTGAATATATGAACTGACCTTTCGTAGTGCATAATTGAGTTTATTCATTTGTTTTTAAGCTTTGTTTTTACCTATTTATGAGACTGATTGAGTAAGACTGTAATTTGTTTATTTAACTTAAGGATTCAGGTACATATTTCCCTTTTAATAAAATAATTCGAAGTGGTCTGTATTCTGTCGAAACTGCCAGACGCGGATCGCGATTTCTATCTTTTTGGATCTCATCAGCGCGTCGCAGGCAGCTCCGACAGAACACAGACCAACTTTTACCTGCTGTCTTAACAGTGCGTTTCAGAAAATACTACAAACGGAGCAGTAAACGCCATCTGTAGCACTTAGGATTACGTATTTTTCAACAAGATCCACTTGTGTGGATATCTACTTGCTGAAAACGAATCCCGGCGTAGCCAACCTCAACGTGATAGGCACGTTAGCTTAATCGAATAAAATAATTCGAAGTGGTCTGTATTCGTGCTACAGATGGCGTTCACTGTGCCGTTTGTAGTATTTTCTGAAATATTTCCCTTTTGTTTATAATTTACATTCGGTTATATGTATATTGCTGCTTATTTAGCTTTACAACGTCCTTTCTATCGTTGTATAACTTCATCAGTAGAAGTTCAAAGAATGCTTTGGTTTTTAAACAAACGAAACGTACGAATGTTTTAATGAACTTCTCGCCTACTGGACGGACTTTCAAAGTGATCGATGTTATTGCAAACTTTGCCAAGTACTCACCTTTTTTTTTTCGTTCTTTTATATAGGCACATCAAATGTACAAAGCGCACTCGAATCTGATGGCGAATTAAACAATTTTACGATCGGCGCAAGTAAACTCGCCCCGTAAGAAAATCTAACGTACCTAATGCTAAAAAATGTATTTAACACGTGTGGATACATGGTAATAAGATGGTAGTACCTATTTGTCTTTATAAAAGAAAATTCCAATGATTAATACAGAGTGTGATAGAGTTGAAGGGCGTTTTTGAAATGAAGAATAACTCATCTGCCTTTTAACTTAAAAAATTATTATTCCGAAAAGTGAAAACTACGGTACAACAATGCAAAGGCGACAACCAGGAAAAGAAAAACGCACAATTTTTATTGAAGAATTGACTGTACGAAGTCCATTAAAAAAATATTGTGAATTTTGTGTTTTTTCAAAAATTATTTATTTATTCATGAATAATAATCCCCACCAGATATTATCAAAATCATTTTTTTGTGATCTTGTTCAGCTCCTAGTTCGAAACCGTCTTTATCTCCTCAATCGTACCATAGCGTCGTACTTTATGGGCCAGTTTTTGGAACAAAAAAAGTCACAGGGGGCGAGATCGGGGGAATACGGTGACTGCGGCATCATAAGTATGTTGTTTTTGGCCAAAAATGCGCGCAGAAGCAACGATGAGTGAGCAGAGGCGTTATCATAGTGAAAAATCCAATTTTTGTTCTTCCACAAATCCTGGCGTTTCTGGATTTCTTCGCGAAACTTGCGTATAATTTGCAAGTAATATTCCTTATTCTACCTTGTGACAAGAATTCATGATGCACCACGTTCCTGCAATCGAAGGAAACTGTAAACAAAACCTCCACATTCGACTTAACTTAGAGCGCTTTTTTCGATCTTGGCTCGTGCGGCAGCTTCCACTGGGATGATTGAGCTTTGGATTCCACTTCATAACCATAAAACCATGATTCGTCACCAGTTATGACCCTCTGGAAAAAATTTGGGTCGTCGTGGACCGAGTCCAACAGCTCCTTAGCAATGTTTAATGTGATGCTGTTTTTGGTCGAAATTGAGCAAGTTTGGTACGAATTTCGCGGCGACCAGTTTCATGCCTAAATCATTGTTAAATATCGATCAGCAGGAGCCAATTGATATCTTTAGGTCCTCAGAAATTTCTCTAGCGGTGTTTCGACGATTGGCCAATACTATTTTCTTCACTTCATCAATGTTTTCGTCTGTTGTTGACCTGCTCGGGTGTCTGGCACGATCTTCGTCGTTCACATCTTCTCGGCCCTCTGAGAACATTTTGTACCACCGATAAACGTTGCTTTGGTCCAAGGTAGCTTCACCATATACCACAGTCAACATTTGGAATGCGCCCGCGCACTTAATTTTGTTTTTCATACAAAATTTGATACAGATTCTTAGATCCATTTTTTGGAGTAAGCAAAAATCGAAGACGAGTTAAAACACGTGCAAGCAAAGCAGTTGTCAAAAATTAACTGAACATTCAATATGACCAAATTTGTCGGCATAAGTGAGAGACAAGAGTACCAACATAACGCTACAAAAAAATACGTAACCCGCAGAACTTCTGAACAGACTTCGTATATGCTGTGACACCGTCCTATTGCAGTTAATTCTTCGACGTGTCAATTCAGGAATTGAAAAGTTTTCTAGCGTTGAAACATATCGCTCATAGGTTGCAGAAGATATACAGTGGATTTCAGTTACAACGACGACGAAGGGACCGCTATAATTTCGTCGTTATATCCGGAAGTCGTTACAGGCAAAGGTAAAGAGATACAGGCACGTACGTGTAGTTTTCAGCATTTTTTCAATTTTAAAACGATATTTGCCTTTTTTTCTAATAGTAAATGTGCATCTAGGAGTCATTGTTATTCAAAAGTTTACTAAACACAGTTGCTACTCAGAATATCACTTTATAAGTGAACTATTTTAAAGTACACGCTTATCTACCTAAAAACAGTCGCTACACCCGAACTTGGCATTACACCCGAAGTCGTTAGACAAGATCGTAATAAATGAAATTCACTGCACCTAGACTTCCCTACAGTGATTTTTGTTCATAATCAATTGAAAATGAGTCTCGTCAATCGTAATTATTAATGGTTCGTTTTTATCTTCAAAAATGTGTGAACTCATTGTGGAAAATCTCTTCTTTCAGTTCCTCAACAAGATTTTCTTCTATGATTCTCAATTTTTAGTTGTTAAATGACTAACTCTAAGGATTAATTATTCGTAATAAAGATTTTTGTAGGTCAAAAAACAAGTGAATTATTATACTAGTTCTTACAGAAAACACAAACGTGCATATTAAATAAAAAATAACAAATATTTCAAAGACTAAATATGCACTTACTTGCCTTCTACTTGAAGAAGTCAATACTTGGCGAAACAATAGAAGTCATAAACTATTAAAAAAAAATTTGAAACTTTTGTTCTTTCTTATTTAATATTCTATTATGAAGTTTCAACAACTAACATCTATAACTATTAGATATTTAAGATCTTTGTTTGTATTTTTCTCAACTATCTATGCGAAAATATCAGTGCAAGAGTGAAAAATTAATAAAACAGGATATATTATCTTTCTATAATTTACTTATTGTTCAAATATTTATTTGTTTCGTTTCTATGCAATCTAGGCCCAAAATCTAAATTTTGCAAGAAATTTGAACACTTTAACAAGCGACAATCAAAAAGAAGAATTTCTTTTTATAAATTTTTGAATAGAGTTGAAAAGTACGGAGTCTTTCAAGTTGTTTGAATGTCTGCATTTTTTTCTCATAAAATTGATGAATTACAATTATTGGAATTTGTGTTTATGCAATTAGTTTTATTTTTAAACAATTTTTATCTGCAAGCCAAAAAAGGTGAAAGAAATTTTTAAGTTCACCTTGTATTGTTGACGGTAAATTCCCAGTCTATTAAAATAGCTTTTTAAAGGATATAAAGAACATATAAATAACGATATATAGATTTATAGATGAAGTATGTACCTATCAAAGGACACTTTTTAATATTAAACTTACATCTTCAAAAGATCTGGTTGAGTCTTCAATTCTCTTGTGGCTTCCTGACAGCTGACATGAACCAAACACTTGGAGAAGAACAACACAAAAAGTAAAATTTTCACGACCATCAAAACGCGTTTTTCCGAATGCATATTCGCCAATTTTTGATACATCAATGGTTACAATTACTTGCTAGTACTTGCTCGTGTCGCACTTACGTTTATTTCTGATCGATTTTGTTGATATTAAAGGCGAGTGTTTCTAATGACCGGTAAATAATTAATTGCTACTTTTGTCACCGCGATTCCTTCGGTTTTTTGACCCATTTCTATCGTATGAACCGTTTATATGTGTGTATGTGTGTATCTCGGTTACTTGTGTACTGTCATCGTCGAAGGTGGCATGGACGGAAATCAATATGAAAAGCTACTGTTGTGTGAATGGGAAAGAGAAAACGTGGAAATTTTCCTTCAACTACGCTTGCGCTAACAATTTGTACTGCAATGTTTTCGACAGTTTCAAGTGATTCAATGATTTTCCATTATTTGAACTGTTGAGAGGTTGGGGTGGCCTGTGACCACGATGATGATATTGATACTCTAACTGAAAAGGGAAGAATGAGTAGAATATTAAGCTTTTGATCTTCTTAAATGCTTAATTATGATAATTAATGCAAATAAAGCTTATTAAAGAAATAGATGATATCAAACACGGAGGAGTTAGAGATAGTTTTAAATAAAATGGATGCGGTACTGATAAAACACTATTGTATAAAAATAAATAAAAGTAAAACAAAAATACTGATATGCAAGGGAAGGATAAGTAGGGAAAGAGCGAATATAAAGATAGGAGTCGAAAGATAAGAAGAAATGGCTGATTTAAGGTGTCTAGGATGTCAAATAAGTCAGGATAGAAGGAGTAGTAGGGATATAAAGTAAAGGATAGCGCAGGGCCACTTCTATGCTCGCGAACGATTAATTTAGAAATTCGAAAAAGATTGTTAAAGCGTTCGAAATGTGGTGTTACCGGAAAATATGAGGATAACCGAGAAGATTAGAAATGAATAGGTATCAGAAAGAAAAGGAGATCAGAGGACTCTATGGAAGTCGATAAAAAATAGGCGAGATAGGTTGGTAGGAGACCTTCTTAGGCATGAAGGTCTAGTCAGAGACATATTAGAGGCAGAAACAGGAGTTAGGAGGAGTAGAGGTAGACCTAGATTAGATTACTGTTAATGAGCAAATATTTAGTTTCAGGAAAATGCGAAGATTAGCTCAGGATTAAAAAAATATCTTACTTATCTAAACTTAAATTCGATAGAAAAAAGGAAGAGTGCGTACATAGGATTTGTAGATTTAGAGAAAGCTTTTGACAATGTTAAATGGGACAAGATGTTAAATATACTTAAAAATATAAGGATGAGTTACAAAGATAGAAGAGTGATACTTAGTTTGTATAAAGAGCAACAGGCAGTTATAGAGCTGGGGATGCAACGTAGAGAAGTAAATATTAGGAAGGGAGTCAGGCAGGGATGCACACTGTCACCGCTACTTTTTAATCTATACATCGAAGACGCCATCAACATCATTAAAGACAGTACAACTGTAGGGATAGATGTGCAAGGGCAAAAGATTAGTATGCTTAGATTTGCAGATGATATAGCAGTATTAGCATCTAGCAAGGAGGACCTAGAGATAGCTTTAAATAAAATGGAAGCGGTACTGACAGATCAGTACTGTATGAAAATAAATAAAAGTAAAACTAAAATACTGATATGCAAGGGAAGAAAAAGTAGGGAAAGAGCGAATATAAAGATAGGAGACGAAAAATTAGAAGAAGTGGCTGATTTTAGATACCTAGGAAGTCAGATAAGTGAGGATGGAAGGAGTAGTAGGGATATAAAGCAGAGGATAGCGCAGGGTCGTGTCGCCTTTAATAAAAAGAAGTCACTTCTATGCTCGCGAACGGTTAATTTAGAAATTCGAAAAAGGTTGTTAAAGGTGTATGTTTGGAGCACGGCGTTGTACGGGTGCGAAACATGGACAGTGGGAGCGGCGGAAAAGAAAAGGTTAGAAGCGTTCGAAATGTGGTGTTATAGGCGGATGATGAGGATATCGTGGGTAGAAAAGGTTAGAAATGATGAGGTATTGCAAAGAATAGGAGAACAGAGGACTCTATGGAAGTCAATAAAAAATAAGCGAGATAGGTTGGTAGGAGACCTTTTTAGGCATGAAGGTCTAGTCAGAGACATATTAGAGGCAGAAACAGGAGTTAGGAGGGGTAGAGGTAGACCTAGATTAGATTACTGTTAATGAGCAAATAGTTAAGGTTGTGGGATGTTCTAGTTTCGGGGAAATGCGAAGATTAGCTCAGGATAGGAAGGAGTGGAGGTGCATGTCCAACCAGTCTTAAGACTGATGGCCTTATGATGATGATGAGTAAAAAAATATCTTACTTGGTAGGTACTTATATTACTGACGTTTTTGCTGAGTGAATGGCAAGTTAAATATTGTAAGTGAATTTCTAGTAGAGATGCGCCGGGTACCCAGTTTAGGTGGATCAGGCACCTTTTTCAGAATCTGGCCGCGTACCGGATAATCTCGCTGGGAACCCGGCAACGTCAAGTAATTCTACCAGAAAACACATCATACATCTTCATACGTCGTCACACACATCTAATGAAAATTGGTATTTAAGATTGTATTGGAATCGGTTGTTTGACCTAATTTGTATTATTTATTGATTACTAAACTAAATTGTTCGTTATTTCGATACAGTTCTTGTTCTTTTACGTCAAGGTAACATCTTAAAAATTGTTACTCAACCACTTGTGATAAGACCAACTTCCACTACTTGTATTCGAAAATTTTTATCTTATTGACTAAAAATAGAGTTTGATATATTCTGTTCTCTTCGGCATGATATAATAAATAAAAACACTTATAATGATTGGTAAAGGCTTCCAGTTGAGGAACTGATGCTGTCCTGATCAGGGTCTAAAGACAGTCGTCGGTTGGAGTTGCTTTATTCCATATACTGAATCGAAGATTCCAAGATCGGCGAAAGGAATTGGATGCAGTGGACAAAGGCTTTTCTTTTGTTTAGTTTTTCCTCGAGGAGGGGAAATCTTCAAAAGACATCCTGTCGTGAGAGATCAACTATAAGGCTGTACATCCCAGGGATAGTTCGATGGGGAGGTTGAAAATGGGGAGAGAGATGAGTGGATGGGCACTCGAGCTAAGGAGCGAAACTAGACTTAAGCAAAGAGTGAGGAGTTCAGGAGGGAAGGTGACAGGGCCATCTGAAACGGTCTTTCGGTTGCGGAGCAAAGTAGGAAAGTGTCGAGATAGACGGGTTTTTGTGACCTGACGCTGAGGCCCTGAGATTTGCTGCGAATCAGGTTGCAACCTCGCGAAGAGAAGGCAGACCAGTTTCTTTAAGAATTTGGGTGTTTCTGATGAACCATGGGTAGTTGAGTGCGGAACGAAGAATCCGCATGTAAGTGCGTTGTAGAATTTTTAGGCGGCGGGGATAGATGCAACCCCAGATGGCAATATCGTAGGAGAAAATGCTTCTGATAGTTGCGTTGAACACACGGATTTTTGTCTGGTGGGAGATGGAGCTGTTTTGGAAAAAGGGCTTGTGTTTTCGCCGCGTCAGTGTTCTACCAAAGACGATGCCGAGGTAGGTGACGGAGATGCTCCATTTGATGGGGTGATGATGATTATGGGGGAGGTATACGAGTCCTTTGGGAAAAGAAAATTGCTTCCGACTTGGTCTCGTTAATAACAAGTTTCCATTTTCGATATCAGTTGAGGAGCAGGGGCAGAAATTTGTTAATTAATTGTGGTGGAATTTAAAAGGGCCATATCATGTCATAAAAGGCACTGAAAATTGAAGGATGGGACAGTAAGTCTGCACAGATGAAATTGAATAGAGGGGGCGACAGCTTGGAGTCTTGGAGGACGCCGGCCGTGATGAATTTGCTGGGGGATAAGACAGAGCCAATGCGGACACGAAGGGTTCTGTCAGAAGGAAAGGGTCTAATAACCCCTTATAAGGAAGTGTGGTGTTTTGAGGGTGATAAGCTTGGAAATGAGACCTTCGTGTCAGATTCGATCGAAGGCCTGTTGGATGTCCAGCAGAAGCATGGACGTGTGAAGGAGCTTGTTGAAGTTGTCTGAAATGTGTTTAGCAACACGAAGGAGTTCATGGTCGATGCCGATGGTGTCTACGGAAACCGTATTGGAAATCGGGAAGGAGATTGTTTTGTTCCACGTGGTCTAGAAGGAGGACTATTTTGCTCAGTGAACTGAGCAGGCTGATGGGACTCTAGCTTGAGGGATTGCTGAGAGGCTTCTCCTTTTTGGAAAAACAAATGGCTGTGGCTTCTTTCCAGACCAAAGGGAAATTGTGGAGTCGCATGATAGCATTTGTGAAATTGCATAGTGCAGTTATGTGTTTTGGTGGCAGGGCTTTTAAGACACCATTGGGAATTCTGTCCGCGCCAGGGGATTTTCTCTTTTTAAGAGATCGGATGGTGACGTGAAGATTTCACGAGGAGTCGAGGGTTGTGTTTAAAGACAGAAACAGTAGGGACGAAGTTTTGAGAAGTGGCTTTGATTTGCTCGTGAAATTCAACAAGATTCACAGGGCTGGGTAGTGGGGGGCACTGGAGACACAGAAAATATGCTAAGATTGCAGCTTTTTCATCATCTGAAGTGTATAGGGAGCCATTTTGCTTTAATGGTGAGAGGTGGGGAGCCCTGTTACGGAGAGAGTGGATAAAGGCCTTAAGTAGCAGAATATAGAGTCGGTTTGGTGGTGGGCGCGTGTACATAGCAGAACAAAAGTTTTTGGTCAGCGATCTGCCGATGTCTACTGTTAGGCGTGGATTTCTTTCTGAATTTTGATTTTAGGCTCTACTGGCAGTCTTTTATAGGTACTGATGCTGTAAATTTTTTATCAGACTCTTTTGTTGTACCACTCACTAGGTAACTGCTCTTATTTTGTTTTATTTGCTGATTCATAATAAATTGCTGCGTAAGCTTCGGTGAAATATTTTTCAAATTATTAAAACTACAGAAAAAAATCATCATCATTTATTGTCCACAATAAAAAAATATTTTTATGAAGCTAAACATACACATACTTATATAGACAAAAATTTGTACTAATTGTAAGAAAATATTAAATTAAACACAGTACATACAAAGAAAGTTTTAATTTTTTGTGTGTGATAGTAATGATTTCCTTTTATCAAGTTAAGAAATAGCATATAGCATTAAAAACAAACACAAACTCCAAATCTTTCGACAACGTGGTCAATTATTATGAATTATGCAAAGGTCTGTCCATAAATTACATAATGTTAAATCCATCATCAATTGTTGATTCACCTTCCCCTACTTAATGAGACTGTAACGCGTGACCTGACCTTATTATCCTCACCACTCCGTTACGTAACACGTACATTGCAAAAGTTTTAGGCTTCAATTGAAAACGTGTTTTTTTTAAAGCCTAAATCGTTACGTAACGTAAACATTGGCCCCTGCCACCGCCCATATAACAGGGCTGTAACCCTCGGCTATTCCCCCCCCCCCCCTTAAGGTTACGTAATTTATCGACAGTCCCTAAGCAGTCTCCGATAATTTGAATCTCATCGTAATAACATGTACAATATCAGGTGTCAACAAAATTTAGCATTTTACCTTACACCATAAGTAGGTCTGTAATTAACTCATTAACAGCTTGTTCTTGAAGTTCTTTAAAAGGTAAAACATATTTTCCTGCCTATTAATATTCTCTTTAGATAATAATTTTATATAAGGTTTACTAAAGAATGCCAAAGGGTAGGTAGATACTAGACTAAGTTTTGGTGTACAAGGCACAAAAAATACATGCTATTTGTTTTCGTTTAAGGGTCAATATATACCGAGCGGCATGGCCTAGAGGTTTAGACCGTTGCTTAGCATTCGGGAGGACGCCGGTTCGAATCCGGGTGCGTCTGCCAAGTTTTTCTGTGGTTTCCTTGGATCACTTAGGCAAATGCTGAGGCAGTAATATTCCACAGATAATCTTTCACTCTCTTCTGTCTTCATTTCGTCCTTCTCATCTTTCTCACCCGAACCACCACCCACCCATTCCCACGATTCCTGAAAGCAGGCTGAAGAGGGCCTTCCGCCCTACCTTCCGGCGTAGTCCGGAGGGACTGCCCGTTCACCAGCATTACTGACGACTGGTGGGAATGAAATACCCAAAAGTTTAAGTTTTTAAGGCTCAATATTATCTATCATCCTATACCTACTTTTGACAACATTATTTGTGTAATAGGGCCGTTTGTTGAAATGACTGCACAAGCTTGGATTGGTTTTGATTTCAAAAATTAATTCAGCAATGTATAGAAGCCATGGATGCAGATAATGTTTATATAAAGAAGGATTTAACGACCCAGTGGTCTGGTGTTTAGAACATGGCTTAGCGTTCGGTTGGACAGTTGCGATATTGGCAGAACTGACTCAAGGTTTTCTAAGCAATTCGAAAATAGTGTTCGCTCCAGATACACATATGTATCACATATCAAATTAAAGGTTTAAATATTTAACTTTAATTGAAAAGAAAATTGAGGAACGATCTGTGACGCGGCTCACGCATTCGCGCCTAAAACGCATACAAACGATTTTAAAACTGTGCAGAAACGTTTTTAGGTTTTCTTCCCGTTTGGTGTACCTTATGTAGTTCCCCTTGTAGTTGTTGAGGAGATACATTCCTTAAAATTTTGGTCATTCTGAATTTAAAGTATCCTCCTAGTTAAGTCTTAAACGGTTTCATTAATTTGTTAAACAAACAATCTAAAGGCAATAAAACCTTGTCAGCACAATCATAAATTAAAAAATTACGATTTGTTGTGGTCACCCACAAGATTGTGATCGTTTTTTAGCACGTAGGACACGCGTTTTTCAACGAACGCTTTGAATTCGTAACCCTTGACTTACAGGCGACGTAGACGTTGTGACAATTGTAAGTAACGGTCTGGTACTGGACTTATTGGTGGATGAACTCTAGCATTCTTCAATAAACCTCAACATCTCCATAATTGAGACGATCAAAATTGGCATAATTTGCAATAAATTATATGTGAGAACGGACATTCTCCTTACAGACAAAATGAAAAGAGATAACCGAATAATAGTAAGCGATGCAGCGGTTAGAATTTCTTAGGTACACAAAAGACCAGAATCGGCTTTGTTACTGCTTGGTTGTAATTAAATTCCAGAGAATGTTGAACTTTCTTTAATGTCCGATGGTGGCAACATGCTCAAATTCTGCTTGTCTCCTTCTGTTACACGTCAATTGGTGTAATGTTATTCATTTTTAGTGTCCGCTGCAATTCCTACCTGGCATCTCTTTTCTATGTTTATGATATTCCCTAAAAAGTCTGTCGTGAGTAAAAGTAGGCTTACGTACTGTCAGCAACCGCTCTATTCTAGTTAGTAAGTTGAATGGTGAAAGTATATTTCATTTACTTTCTCTAGCGATGTGCCCCTTCCAATGTCTTGGATGCGCGCTGGCAAAATCGTAGGTAGGGAGAAAAAAGCTCATTATACTCTCGACTCTTGTTCATTAAACATACTTTTTCATATAGTACCTGCCAAAACTTTTGTTCAATCATGAATAGTAGTGCGAGTCGAAAACAAGCTTTAAAGCCTTTAATATCTCTTCAAATATAGATAAACATCTCGTTGATATTTTCAGTAGTAAATGGTACCAATAACAGCACATTTGAGCAATGCAATTGTAGTAGACAAAATGGTCAATTTTTCCGTGCAGTACTGTACGGATTATACGCTCCTCACCGGTTAAGAGTTTGACCGAGAGTTGTCTCTTTTCTTTTCTGACCTAGAGCTGTTCTTTTCTACTTTGCGCCGGTCAAACTGAAGGTCACATCGCTACAGAAACTAAACGAAATATAAGTGCGGCAGTTATATTATTGATTATACCAATTTTGAACATCCGAAGTAAATTTCAGTATTTCACTTTCTTATACCAAACTCAAGCTTTTACAAATGCAGAAAATTACACGTACTTACAAATCATGTAAAATTTAATATTTACATTTGGCTCCTTTATTTTTAACTTTGACAACAATCAGTTTTTCAATGTTTCATGTGCGAAGCAAATATTACAACATTTGGTTATTTGTACATAATGGTCACAATAATAATAATTGTTCTAAGCAGAAAGTAGAACTAATTCAATAAATAAATAAATTAAGGCTTTATACATAAATGTGATTATGGAAAGAAAGCGTTCTAGACCATGGAGAGGGTGTTCGTTAACGCCATGGTCTTTTCGGTGTTGCCGAATTTCGTTTCAGCTTCAAGAAGTGCTTGCGCCAATTCTCTCCGTGCCTTCGCACTCAACCACACCATTAGAATCACAGAGAAAATGAGCTACAAACAAATATTTAGTTAATTTCTTAGTGTATTAAATAACATAAGTAACTTACTTGAGCTGCTGCAAAGACATATGTAAAATAGGAGAAGTGTTTTTGGTTCTCTAAGACATCTTGCATCGACCTGAGCGACTGACCAACATAAATGCCAACAAGTTGACCAGGTATTAGACCAAGTAGCGATGCCATGTGGTAGATCTTTGTATTAACGTTGCTCACCTAAAAAGAAGACATTCTTAAGCTATAATAAACAGAGCCTTCAGGCCAACGACGCTTCTAGTAAGTGTTTTACAAAATATACTTATTTTATAATGGTTACTGGTGAATGATGAGAATATCGTGGATAGAGGTAAGAAATGCGGAGGTAATAGAAAGAATAGGAGAACAGAAGGAGTTGCGAGATAGGCGAGATAAATTGGCAGGATACCTTATCAAGCATGAAGGGCTACTTGGAGATATATTGGAAACAGAAATAGGAATAGAAGTAGACCTAGACGGGATTACTGCTTACAAATAATTAATGATGGGGGATCTTCTAGTTTTAGCAAAATGCAAGGATTCACTCAGGTCAGGAAAGAGTGAAGGTTCATGTTCCACCAGTCTTAGGACTGATCACTCTACGATCATGATTACGATGATAATATCATGAATAGAGAAGGTTAGAAATGAGGAGGCACTAGAAAGAATAGGAGAACAGAAGGAGCTGCGGAAGTCGATAAGAAATAGGCGAGATGAGTTGGCAGGATACCTTATCAAGCATGAAGGGCTACTTGGAGATATATTGGAAACAGAAATAGGAATAGAAGTAGACCTAGACGGGATTACTGCTTACAAATAATTAAGGATGGGGGATCTTCTAGTTTTAGCAAAATGCAAGGATTCACTGAGGTCAGGAAAGAGTGAAGGTTCATGTTCCACCAGTCTTAGGACTGATCACTCTACGATCATGATTACGATGATAATATCATGAATAGAGAAGGTTAGAAATGAGGAGGCACTAGAAAGAATAGGAGAACAGAAGGAGCTGCGGAAGTCGATAAGAAATAGGCTAGATGAGTTGGCAGGACACCTTATCAGGCATGAAAGGCTACTTGGAGACATATTGGAAACAGAAATAGGAATAGAAGTAGACCTAGTTTGGATTACCCTTCACAAATAGTTAAGGATGAGGGATCTTCTAGTTTTAGGAAAAAAAATTATTACGTCAAAAAAAATGTCTATAGTGGATCTTAATCTAATATTGAGATATATAATTTTATATGGTTTATATCCAAAGTGGCCCGTATGATCATTTGGGTTGGTCACCCCAGGTCTATTACATGTATTGGGGCACAATTTTGTTAAGTCCACGAAGTCGACCATAAGTCCATTTGATGAATTAGACAAAAGTTTACCAAGTACAAATAACAGAGTAACTAACGGTGAGTTATTCTTTTTTTGCAATCCCTATTTTAAGTTTTTTCATGCACGTATTCTTGAGCTGCAGTTATATAATGGATGAACTATTTTTAATAATTTTAAATATTTTGTGTAGGCAGTATTTATGATATAAGTGCAGATAATGAACAAACGTATGATAGATTGCTAATCCTTGAAAATATAAAAGTAGGTACATAGTTATATCTATCGATAGATTGTCGATAATCGCCAACAAGAACTGATAAAAAAATTACACTCGTATTCACATGTTGAAGGCTGATTGATTGGCAAATAGTTCAAGGTAATAAAATAAAATGTTATGTTCTCTTTGTTAGAAAAATTTATTACCTAAATCGAATAACAAATAACAAAAGAAAGTCTTATCGCATGCTGAATTGAAATTGGTTACCTAGTTATATAATTTAAATTGCATTGATATAATTCATTACTTTCGAAGTTGAACTTGGACGGATGGATACCGGTTTAGATCGTACAAAGAATTTAACATTTTGATATTGGAAATACCCCATACTGTAACTTAATCTAAGCCTTTTATGAATTACATTTTACATACCCTAATCAGGGAAACCTTTTCCACCATAACCTAGCCTAATCCATTGATGCACAGTACTTCACACAAATCATTTAGAGTATCTTTAATCACCCAGTACTTCACACAAATCTTTAATCACCGTAATATGACTTAAGCTCATAGTGTACAGCACAAGATTAATTACAGGAACTCCCAACCCCCTTCCTAACTAACCAAGTAGATATTACTCAACCCCTGGTGCATAAAACTTCACACAAGACGATCAGAGAATATCCTCACCATTACATAATTCAAGGTTATAGTACATACTCCGCATTTGTCAATCAGGGATACCATATCCACCATAACCTCACTTAATCTGCTGGTGCTTAGCAAGCAATTACAGAACCCTTTCTCACCATAACATAACGTACGTCCACAGCGAATTACATTTAACACTTGTTAATCAGGGAAACATAGCCAAACCATAGCCCAAATCGTACAGGTATAGCACTTCATACAAGCCAGTCAGGGAATCCACTCCCATCATAAGATAACGCAAGAACAGAGTGCATGATGACATTTTACAAATATCAATCATGGAAACTTTATGCACAACCTAAATTGATGAGGTAAAACACTTCACAAAAGCTGAACACCTGAACAGTGAAGACCATAGTGTATAGCATTTCACAAATTTAACCCACTGATGAGTGGTACTTCACACAAGCCGGTCAGGGAATCCTCCCTCATCATAAAATACCATAGCATTTTCACAACATGTCAATCAGGAAAACCACATTCACCGTAACCTAACTTCACCCACTGACGCATGGCGCTTCACATTTATAAACTAATTAAAGAACCCTCTCCCATCACAACATTACTTAAGATAACAGTGTCAATCAAGGAAACCTTTTCCCCATAACCTAACCCAGTATATATATATATCTTAACCCCCAGTACACAGCACTTCAAACAAGTCAATCTGGAAATCTTCTCTCACTACAAGGTAACGTAAGCCCATAGCGTATAAAATTGCACATATGTTAACCAAGGTCTTATCCATAACTTAAATGGTTGGGGTATAGCACTTCATACAAGTCAGCCAGGGAATCCTCTCTAATCCCACGATAACTTAAACCCATGGTACATGTCATTTCACACAATAGGGGAAACCTGATCCACTACAACATAACATGGCCCACCCAATGAAGTCTAGTACTTCATATAAACCAATTAGAGAATCCTGTCTCATCATAGCATAACTAAAGTCCACAGTGGATAGCACACGTATGTTAATCTGGGTAACTTTTCCACCCATAAACTAATTACTTCAAACAAGCCTATCAGAGAGAGATTTTTCCCAAGGGAGGCAGATTTTAAATACATATAGGTTTAATACGTTTGGTGTCTATGTGTTTAAACTTTGTGCCGATATCGTGATTCCTCTGAGTCTGAGACAGAGCCCTTTCCTTGTACCTATAGAATTTCATATAATTTAACAAATGTCAATAAGAAAAACCTTATCCACAATAACCTAAATCATTGGAGTATCACTTCACACATGCCAATCAGGGAACTCTCTCTCATCGTAATCAAAAGTAAATCTAAATTGCCTAGTACTACGCACATGTGAATTAGGGTTCCTCCATATCGTAAGCTAATTTAACCTACCACATCCTATCTATGGCCCTATAATGACTAATGATTAAAATTTAACTACGTTCAACATTGCGTTTTAGAAAATACTACAAATGACGCAGTAAACGCCATTTGTAGTATTTTCTAACACGCACTGTTAAGACAGCAGGTATAAGATGGTCTGTATTCTTTCGGAGCTGCCTGCGCGCGCTGATGAGATCCAAAAAGATCGAAATCGCGATCCGCGCCTGGCAGTTTCGACAGAATACAGACCAATTCGAATTATTTTACGTTCAACATGTTAAAAGCTGAGTCATTTTTAATTGAAACTTTTAATTACACGACAGCCTTCTTAATATACATAAAGTATGCCATTTAGTGGTTTCATTCTTTTATTATATCAGCTCCATAAGATTACATTACGAACCTATCCACTGTAGAAAAATTTATTTATAGTGAACTGATATTGAAGTGTCAAGATAAAATTATCTATTAAATTTCATAATCACACTTATTTCGATAGCAATAATCTAAAAATTCAAAGAATTTCTCAAAAACAGTTCCACTTTCTAAAGAATTCTGTTTTATCTTCACTTCATGCGGTTAAATTTAGAAGTATCCTGGAGAGAAATAATACGATTTTTGTAATTATTTTCTACTTACTCATTGCAAGTAAGTAGTCAAATAATATTCGTGGTAAATACTAACATGGTATTATCAGTAGACATTGCAGCAAAAGTGGTGATAAACTGTGTTAAATAAACAATATGAACAAACAAATAAAATTTTAATTTCATAATCCACATTTAGCATTGATTGAGAACGAAACCACGGTGGTACCGTTTTAAGGTCCCTTCGTGTACTACATAAATAATATCTGTTTTATTAAAATTGCTTTAAGAAAGTAATAACTATTAATGTTACTCACGGCAAAAATTATATTTTGTAGACCAAACGGTATGGGAGTCAGTCTTGAACAAAAGACGATTTTAAAGCACAGGGGTCCCGAAATGACCCTGATTATAGCTTGTGCCGTTTCGCTACTTATCCAAGATCTTATACTGGCGTGATGTCCCATTATCTTCATGATGTTGTGGGCTATAAGGAGTCCCACGTTAGCTCCCAAAACGCTGAGAAAGAATCCTCTCAGAAACCCAAAAAGGTAACCAGACGCCACAACAATTACTATGTACCCTATACTCACGGGAAACGACACCACGGTGAATAGTATCACTAACGTTAACACTATAACAAGTGGATCTTGATTTTCGAGCCATAACAACACAGACTTTGTGTACTCTTTACACAAGTATAATACAACTAGTGTTACCCCTAGCACTGCTAGGATACTTAAGAAATTCGTGAAAGATGTGAACCAGAGCCTCTTTTGGTTCTCTTCTTTGCTACCATCACCATTTATGATCATTATTCAGCAGTCTCGTGACAACATAATAATTATAATATTAATTGGTGCTCTTTGTACTCACACAGGAATTTGTTTTGAGGTTACCTTCTATATATTCACACTTTTGAGCAATGTCACTCTCATTTTAATTGATTATTCAACATAATACACTGTACGTTTTGTAGTGACGGTGTGCACCTGAACGTTGTTTGATTTTATCTGAGATAATATGGTTAAACAATTGTCATAATTTTGTGTTCGTAAATTTAAAAGGAAAACATCTGTTCTGACAGGCGGCATTGTCATGTCTCAAAATTGTTTTTCTCCAGTGCTCTCTTCAATCTTTTAAAGATAGGCACTCTGTTCTACAAGACTAAAAATGGTGATTATATCGTTTCTTCATTGCTTATATATATTATATGTCCATCATAAGTATTCTTTTTAAAGTAACAAACTTGATTCTAACGATAATTGTTTTTTTAAATATGGCGTCCAAACAAAGTTACTTTGAAATGGCCATGCGGGCAGGTAGCGCCATTGTAACAGCAAAAAGTAGTACAATATTTAGTTATAGTAGCATTTGGTACCCATTCATAGAATGGTAAAAAAGGGAAGAAGGTGGTGAGTAAGGGGTCGTCCATTATTTATGCAATAATTGGGACTCCCGTCCCCCTCGGTAAGATTTGGTGAGATTTTGCAGAATCTTACACCCCTGTTGACCTCACGTAATTAATGAATAGCCCACAAGAGGTGTGAAAAGATGTTAGGATGTAAGATATGACAAATATGAAGTAAAAAATATAAGGGAATTCCATTTCCAAAAATAGGCGAGATAGGTTGGTAGGACTCCTTCTCAGGGATAAAGGGCTACTTGGAGACATATTGGAAACAGAAACAGGAATTAGGAGGAGAAGAGGTAGACCTAGATCAGATTACTGTTCGCAAATAGTTTAGGATGTGGAATGTTTTAGTTTTAGGGAAATGCGAAGATTAGCTCAGGATAGGAAGAAGCGTGTGTTCAACCGGTTTTAGGACTGATGACTTTATGATAATGATGACCTTTAGTCATTTTTTTAATACGATACATTTGCAAAAATGTGTGAAATTTTGTTGTTTTGTGAATTGTAAATTATAATATAATTAGGTATTTGATTGATATTTTGGATATTAGTTATGTTATGTTTTTTGTATGATTTTCATTTGGAGTATTTCGCGTTGTTTGTTCATTTCTAATTGTGATATAGAAATTGTTAGTCTGGCAACAGTGCTACTTTGTCGCACAGATTTCTATACAAACGAATCTACACGTTCAGACCAAGAAAAACATTACCAACAGGGGGCGCAGAAGGTATTACTTCTGAATTCGAGTCATTTAAATGTTTTGTAGAATTCAATGAATCAAATTAATAATAATAACATTTTCACTATTCATTACCAAATTAATTGTTACTTAGTCAGTTTAAAATCAAATCAATCTAAAAATACCGACAAGAAATTTATTTCCAAAAACTTTTACCAAAATGAAATTTCGTCTTTTAGACTATTGTTTGTACATCTCGAAAGTCTTTTTCAAAAGTTTATTTGTTATCATCATCATCATAAGGTCATCAGTCCTTAGACTGGTTGGACACGTACCTCCACTCTTTCCTATCCTGAGCTAAACTTCGCATTTCCCTAAAACTAGAACAGCCCACATCCTTAACTATTTGCGAAGAGTAATCTAATCTAGGTCTACCTCTACCCCTCCTAACTCCTGTTTCTGCCTCTAATATGTCTCTGACTAGACCGTCATGCCTGAGAAGGTGTGCCCTACCAACCTATCTCGCCTATTTTTTATTGACTTCCATAGAGTCCTCTGTTCTCCTATTCTTTCCAATACCTCTTCATTTCTAACCTTTTCTACCCACGATATCCTCATCATCCGCCTATAACACCACATTTCGAACGCTTCTAACCTTTTCTTTTCCGCCGCTCCCACTGTCCATGTTTCACACCCGTACAACGCCGTGCTCCAAACATACACCTTTAACAACCTTTTTCGAATTTCTAAATTAACCGTTCGCGAGCATAGAAGAGACTTCTTTTTATTAAAGGCGACACGACCCTGCGCTATCCTCTGCTTTATATCCCTACTACTCCTTCCATCCTCACTTATCTGACTTCCTAGGTATTTAAAATCAGCCACTTCTTCTAATTTTTTTTTTTTTTTATTTGTTATATCGAACCGAATTTTGATTAATTAAACTTAAATTTTTGTACCGAATCAAATATAAATTTTACCAGAACTTATTCCAAGAATAAATCCTTTGTACGATACTGACATCCTTTATCTTCAACTATGACCGGACTTTGGGCATTAGTAAACGTAGGTACTTAACACCAGCGCAAGTCACACCTACGATCATACGTTACCCCAAAATCAGAAAATATGTAACGCAGTACAGCACCGACTACTATATGAATTACACGCAATATAATGGAGCAAGCTTTTTTTCTTTTCTCGTTGTTTTTTCAAATGTTTATTAATTTCCATTTCACGTATTCTTTTTCAACAACTTTCCAAATGTTTCTTTTTAAGTTTATTTCCACGTAATCCTAAAAAATATATTACCAAGTCCGTTTTTAATGAAAGTATTCAATTTAATTTCATTTTTCCATGAAAACCTGAAATAAATTGCGCGGAGTACCTCGTATATATATATTTACTAAATGCTTTCCATTTGTAAATGTAACGACTGAAGTAAGCGAAAGATTTTGTTTTCAAAACTTGAAACAAGTATTTGAATTATTAGGGCTTTATTGTATAACTTTGCAGTCATCCATTATTTACATAAGTGACAAAACTTGAACTGTATGAAATGTAACTTATTGTAGCGCGGTTCTGGAAGGGTTAATATTTAATGTATTAACCGAAGAATATATGAAGAATAGTTTTGTTTGCTTTCCTTGAATAATAAAGTTGTGGTAAGTATTGGGATCCGTCAAATGGGAGGAGCCTAAAAACATGTCGCCGATTAGGGAAAATTTATCGTAGTTCCTATAGTGTACCGTGCAATTTCCAAGTTTTTAAATTACGATAAAATGATAAGTATTGACACAATATGCGATTGGGCTGACACAATGCCTCGGAAAGGAAATTTCGTTCAAGGTGAGCGTGTTTTTAATGCCAATCACATTATAAAATTCAGAAATAACAAATTCCGTCAAGTTTACTGCCTACTTTTTACAAACTTCGGATTTAAAAAGTGATTTACGTTATATAATTGGTGAGGTGATTCTGGGTGATTTAAGCAATATCATGTCAATGACTTGCACGTGCAAAGCCGATTTAAGAGAACGTTGCAAACACATTGTTGCAACTTTGTTGTATTGCAGCAGCTAGGTTCTTAACCTCAAAATACTTATATCGTATCATTAGAATTGTGTTAAATCAATTACACAGGAATAAATAATTTCTCACTTTATAATTTTAGTATGATTCTAGTTTTAAATATTAAGGTTATGGCTGATAGTAAATACTTGCTGAAATATAATCATGTGCATTAAAATGACGTGAACAAATTTTTATTCCGGATTTCACTTCTTTCATACCTACTGCTTTCATCCAAGCTTCTATTAGTTTACTTTTTTCTTTAATTTTCCGAATATATTTTTTA